TGTATAATAATAATAATAATAATGAAAAATAGGATAACTTACAAAAATATTAGTAAATGATAGGAAGAACTTAATGTTGGTAATTATAAGAATATTTATTTCAGTGCAGAATGATACTTGATAATATTTAACATTCCCGTGTATATTTTAGTTTACCTTCACTCATCAATGTTTGCCTCACCCCCTACCCCCTCCTCCTCCTCCCCCTACCCCCTCCTCCTCCTCCTCCTACCCCCCTCCTCGCCTCTCCCCACCACCACACACACTATGCTTGTTTTAATTTCACTGCATTTATTTTTTTATGATTTATCTTGATGTCATTATTTTTTTCGTTTTTTTTTTATTTAATTGTAATTTCTTCTATACTTCTGACGTCACTTGGTGATTTTTTTTCACTGGTTTGAATTTTTAGTTATTTTATTTATTACTAATGAAGGTGGCAGTAACCGCGAGTATTATCATTTTACAACATGTTACAGGAACTGGTGTGTGGTAAAGCCAGCTGTTTTATTACTCTTTTGAAAATATCTATTACTGAGTATTTCACCATCATCGTCGTCATCGCTATCATCATCATCATCATCACCGTGGAAACTTTTATTACAAAAATACATTGTTGGGACATATTTAGCGTAAAAGTTAATGATGACAATTTACTCCGATGGAAACTTAAACTTTTATCTTATTTCTTGAACTATGCTTAACTAAATCGACTAACTGGACCATTATTACTGTATCTGAACTACTTATGAACACAGTGAACAAATTTGAACTTGTAAGACAATATTACGCAATGAATTATCAGTATTTTTCTTGGTGTAGCAAAAATCCGGGTGGTGATTGGTCAAGTATACTGGTCAATGAGAGCGCCGCAAGGTTTAAACTTAGCGGGAGGTGCTACATTTATTATCTCAGCTTAACATTTTTCAGTATAGAATTTAAAAACCCGTAATAGTGAATTTTAAAAAGAAAAAGTAGGATAATTGTGTGTTCAGTATAAAGCTCGCTAAAACTTCCCGGCTTACAAACACCATGGTTGATGATTGGTGGAGTGGGGCCAGCCAATGGGAGCGCTGCTAGGTGTAAACATCGGGCGGGAGATGCAATAAATATTTACAATGGCGCGCTCGAACAGAAGACAGACAGAGCGGGTGATCTCGACCAGTTTGCCCCCGAACAGTCTAAAATAGCTTCGGGGAAAATGTTTCACCTCCTAGAATCAACAGTTTAGGCCTACATAGTGTGGCGTCACGAGGGGAGGTAACTGTAGAAGCGGGTTGTGGCCAAGGAGACCGACTAAACCAGCTTTGACTCCTAAATCGTCTGGGATAAATGTTGAATTGGATAGTGACTGTATAATAGGAACTGGAGGTGACTGTAGATGATGATGTTGTAACAGTAGGAGCCGCCAAGACAGTCTGGGTTAGGTTATGTTGATAAGATGGACGTTCCACCAAGCTCACTACCTCCACATCTCCCCTCCCATCCCCTCTCCCTCCCCTCACTTGCCTGCCCACAACCACCACCTCCTCCCTGTCCCAACGTCTTCACCACCCTCTTCCATATTCTCTTCCCTTTCCACCACCACCTCTCACATAACCAGTCACTCTCTACCATCAACCAACCCCTCCCTCTACATCCCCCTCCTTGCCTCCCCTCCCCCACAAACCTCTTCCCCTCTAACACCCTAACCCCCCCCCCTCCCCCCAGTCCTCTCCATAATTTAGTTTTTCCTCTCGATGTGTAAGTTTTTGTAGGTGGTGGTGGTAGGTGGTAGGTGGGTGGAGCACTAACCAGTGTACGTGGTGGAGTGTGTTCCTTCCTTGATAATGTACAATGGGTGGCAGTGTTTGGTTGGTGGAGGGGGGTGGGAGGGGAGTTAGGGGGTGGGTAGATGGAGGGATAAAATGTGCTAAGAGAGGAAGAGGGGGGGAGGAGAGGTGAGATATAACAGAGAGAGAGAGAGATAACAGAGAGAGAGAGAGAAAGAGAGAAAGAGGACGACTTCTCAAGCACCAAATTACTAATCACACATTATTTTTTTTTTACTCTTCATTAAATTGGGGTCAGAATCCTTTGTAAACTATAGAGGGAGTTATGTTTCAGGAATCTCTCTCTCGCTATGGTGCCTACATTTTGGAGGTAACAGAAGGTGTGTGGGTGGAGGCAGCAAGATTGAGTGGTAAAAAGAACTGGGTGGAGGGTGTTTGGAGAATCTATGAGGGTGTAGAGGTGGTGGCTTGGTCAGCCACGAGGCTCTCGGTGCTGGTCAACTATGGCACCCCAGCCCAACCTCTAGCACCCAGCCTAGCTACTAGCCCCGGTTTATCTACTAGCCCCCAGCCTGACCACTAGCCCACGGCACTATTGACACCGATGCCCACGAGGTCGTTGGTGATTGTGGATGTGGGTATCCTATAGCCAGCCCTCAGGCCTCAGCCCTCAGCTTATAGACCCGTCTCCCTCAGTGAGCGGACTACTAAACCATCCCGTCATAAAAGGACAACGGCCGGTGTGAACTTTGAGGGCTGGAGGGGCGGAGGAAAGGCCCTCACATCCCGCGGGACCCCCTGGCATTCCTACCCAACCACGCCCCTCCCTCTCTCCGTTCTCCCTCCCTCGCTTGGCACCCCCCCCCTCCCTTTCCTGGCACCTCTCCTCCCTTAGACCTCACCGTTCTCTCCCTTGATTATCACCCCTCCCCCTTGGACCCCCCCTTCCCCCTCATATGGCACCTCCCTCCTCTACCCTACAGGCACTTCTTTCCTCCCACCATCACCCTCACCCAACAGGATCCCCTCCCTCCCTCCCTCACATTCCCCGTCACTCTTCCCCTCCCCCTAATTTCTTCCCTCAATTCTTTACCCTCCCTAACCCTTCCACATCCTCCTTTCCCTCTCTGACCTTCTCCCTCATTTTTTGTACCCTCCCTCACCCTCACACACCCTCCCTTTCTGTTTTTTATGGTGTTGATTATACGGTTTGTTTATTTACACGACTGCATATGAGTTCCCTGGGGGTGATGCAGGGCCGTGTGCTTCATCCCTCTTCTTTCCCTAATGCTAACCTAACCTAACCTAACCAAGGGACGAAATAGACTGTAAATAGAGGTACTGTATTCGTATTTTATCCGTCAATTCGTGGTTCTTTCTTTTTACACTTGAATGTTATATTTTTTACATTCAACATTCGGGTCTAATGATTCGGTGTGTCTGTCTGCACGAACATTTATATCTACTAAACTTATTATAGATATGTGAGGGAGTGTAGTATGACTGGTATATATTATTTATTATTTAGTTGTTTATGTGTAGTTGTAGTAGTCTTATGTGGGTTAAATATTGAAGTTTAATGAGATGGGTGGTGCGAGTGAGAGGTGGATGTTGTGGGTAGGTGAGTGGGTGGTGTGAGTGAGAGGTGGGTGATGTGGGTGAGATATAGATGGCGTGGGTGGTGTGGGTAGGTGAGTGGGTGATGTGGGTGAGATATAGATGGTGTGGGTGGTGTGGGTAGACAAGTGAATATGAAGGTAGCCAGCGACGACCAGACCTGCTCTTGTTAATCAGCTGGGCATGGGCGCCATTTAGCTCCATACTGCTACACATAACACTTATTTTCACCTACACCAATATCCTTCCCTCCATCTCTTCGCCTGAGGTAACACAGCACAATTCTCAGAGTTCTCTCACTAGACGCGCGAACAATCTCCATCACATCTACTTGTTCAATTGTTAAAACTGTTGTATTCGTTTATGCGACGCGAAAACTAGAACTCGCAAATATTGGTGGCGCCACACTTGCCCGAGGCTGATGTTACCAGCTGAGAGTGATAACCCCACAAAACTCTTTCTCTCTCTCTCTCTCTCTTTACGATTCTTTATCAGTCTCTCGTTGTCCCGTCGTTCATTATGGTAGATCTTAAGTGTAATGATATATCGACACGTACTGGCAGTGCAAGAGAACAGAGTGGGGGCTCTCGCGGGACACTTAAGTTGGTAAAATAGTTGGGTGATATGACGCGGTGGTACCATAGGGGTGGAGGCGGCGTCTAGTTGACAGGCAGTGAGGCGGTGGTGGAGAGCTGGAGTCTGGCGAGGGTTGCGCTGGGCGACGGTGGGTGGCCCTCCACGCTCTCTCCTCACTCACGCCCTCTCCTACCCCTTACCATAACCTTCGCATCGCTTCATGTCATGTATTAATCGTTGTTTTTTTTTAAGTTGGTTCACTCGATTACCAGTGGCGACGTTTTAGTACAGCTGTGAAGTGTAGCGATGGGCGTTTTATCGAGTGTGTCTTATGAGTGAGTGACTTTGTTATCGGCGTGACAGTGCTGGGGGTAAGGGACAGTTTTACCATTCTGATGGATTGGCTAAAGTGGTGTGGAGGGTCTTATATGGTAAGCCCGTGCTGCCTGGCGCCTGCAGTCTCCTACCCTCCTCCCCACAACCACCAACCAGCCCCCAACCTCAAACTTCTCGTAACTTTTTTTTCCGTATTTAGTGAATATTTTGCAATATTTTGCATATATAGTTATTTTGTGACGTTTTTTAGTTGTTATTTTTGGATTTATGATTTTGTAAGTCTTGTGATTGTTTTTATAGTTGTGATTTTTTATAATTTGATTTTTTTATAATTTTGAATATGATATGTAATTTTTTGTCTAACCCATAGGTAATATGAAGTAACTTCGCCAAACAAAGATCTGAACACAACCTGATCAGTAGTCCGTGTAAGATATTCATAAAATCATCCTAATCTTCGTAATAATAAGCTGTATGACCACTAGGCCTGAGTGAGCGACACATTTTTGTATTGTAACTATTTTTATTGAATATATTAATACAGAATGTGGTGTATATACCAAGTAAGTGGACTCATTAATTTAGTGCATCTTCGTGAACTTTTGTGAAGAATGCAGTTTGTAGGTTACATTTTGTGGGCTTTTTTTTAACAAACAAATTTTTTGCAGTTAACCAAATTTCGTCAATCTTGAATATTTTTTATTGGTTACTTAACCATTTTTTATTTCAATTTATATATTTGTTGTAAGTAATCATTTTACTCACAGGTTCTAAATGAGATTTTATTTAATGTGACGTGCCGTGTCGTAAGGCTGGAACAAAAGAGTTTAAGACAATTGTGAATAGCATCCAATCAAAGTTATGTTTCTGAAAGTATTATTTTGCAGTTTTGACGTGACGGGATCTAATGCATTGGGAAAAAAAATTGATGACTATTGTGTTTACTTACTGAATACGTGGTTAAGACTTAAGGTGTCGGAGTGCAGTAATAATATTATAACCGCTACATGAATCGCCAAAAATATATAGTTTCTCCCCAGATTGACTCGGTTGTTGAGGTGAGTTTGTGAGATGCACTAAGTGAAGCTGGTAAAGTGGGAGGTGCACAAAGTGAAGCTGGTAAAGATAGTGTGAGACGCACTACGTGAGGCAGCCACCAGTTTCCCCGCCAATAAGCTGCTCGTCATTGTGTAACCACTTTTGTCATGGCGTCTGCTTCATGTCCTTTCGTCATGCATGTGACGTCACGCGCCATCGCTCACGTCTCTCATGGTCGTAACTCCATAACATCAGCACCTATTTCCTGACATCGTGTCTTTGCTGGTAGTTTTCTTATCGTCAGTGTGGACATTATCATAGAATATGTTTCACGGGTTTAGGACAACGAAATGAGATGATACTGTTTAATGAAAGTAATTTAACGGTAATGTAATTGCATTCGTTGCATTATTTGTGTCTCCTTTAGTGGTTACTCAGCCATTTACTGGAGACGCCGTGAGAAATGTTTTAAGTGATGTCATTATTAAATTAATTCTTACCAAGACGAAAAGTACAGTTGAATTTCATACTTGTTTTACCATTATTTACCCGCACTATATACAGGGTATTGAACCAATGTAAACCCGTATAGCGATGTTACTGAATAGTGTGAATATCAGTAAATCCGGTGTGACGCTTCCCGGATACTCGTACGTCTAGGAGTTCGGTAATCTTGTTGTGTCGCTGCTTTCGTCTTCCTGTGCATTTTTGTATCCGTCAGAAATATTACGTTTATGGATAGCGGTAATAATTTATTTTCACTTGGAAAAATTCCATATATATGTATGTGTGTGTGTGGCTGGAACTTTCTGTTGATTCCTTTGTTAATGTTATGAGAAAATAGAAAACTTCTGGTGAATATTATGACTAACTGATGCAAGAAATATTTTGCTTTGCTTTTTTTATATTTATGTTAAGAATCTCATAATATCACACTATTCTTTACCGTGTTCGCTGGAGGGTTTACTTCCAGGCAAAATTAGCATAAACGCATCACAAACAACAATAAGGTTTTATATATATTTCCACTTGCCGGTAAAATTAAAACATCACAGTAGACGTGGCATAGAATATAGTTATATTTTAAAAGGGGGGGGGGGGGAATACGGTACTATTATTCTAAGATGTGTGATTTGAAGTATCAAGGGACTTCGTAAATACCCCGTAGCGTGCGTGAGGATAGCGGGTAGGGGTGGTAGCGAACACCGGGACACTGGACTCCAGGATGCGGGTGGACTTAATTTTCTAAAATACCAGCCTTTTGTCTCCATTTTCATCCTGGCCAACCATTCATTGCCGGAATGAACATTTCGTTATTCAATTGTCTAGTTTTCAGCACTAGAAAGTTGATATTTGTACGTGGTTTTATATTTAATGACCTAGTTATTTTTTTACTTATTTTTATTTCTTTAATTTCGCGTATTTGCTGTGTGGGATAGAGTAATTGTTTTATATATTTCTTATCAAAATATTCTAGTTTAATCATAATATGCTCAGTGAGTGTGATAATAAGTGGGAGAGGCGGATGCACTCGTCAACCCCGCACTACAAAAACCTTCTTGGGTTGTCCGTGTGCGGTTTACTGGCGTCATTTGTTCAGGTACGATGTTTCTGGTTCATAGAGCAGTCTGCCAGCCAGTCACACTTGTGATTTTGCTCGAAATTAGATACTGGTGAATATAATTTTTCATGGTGAGGGAACGGTACTGGTTTTAGCTGGGCTAACTCCACAGTCAAGGAATTTTAATTTTTAGAATTAATTTTTTTTTGAGTACTGAAGTGAAGGAGTTATTTTTATAGTTTTGTGATTTTTCCTGGTATTTTTATGTGAATATTTTTTTTACATCTAATACGTTTTTAGCATTTATTAATTATGGTGATACTGTACTATACAGATGCCAGTTGACATTGTTTTAATTTTGTATATATGTATATATTTTTTTCATAACATAGGCCACAAGTTGTGTGTATTGAGATGAATTTTGTTTGGTCACATACCGGTAATACTCACAAATTTCCAAACGTCTACCGTGTAACAATTACGTGACTCAAAACAAGCGCATACTCGTCCTGTGGTACTGTACTGTATCTTGCCAGCCCGCCTCTCCCACCGTCCACACTAGTTTTTGTGACCAGGACTCCCTGATGCGAGACCTTTCCAGTGAGATATAGTTCTATGTATGAGTAATTTGTGAGATTACCTTGAAGAGATATACACACGTTCATACATAATTGTGAGTGAAGGTTAGGTTGGAAGGAAGGGTTTAGTGTATTGTAAAATTTTCCATGAATATTGATGTTCTTGTTTATTAGTTCTGTGTTATTTTATATATGGGATTAGAATATGAAGGCTAATGCAAATTTTTCGTGTTAAATCGATTTTAATAAACACTATAATGATTCCAGCGAATAAGTAGAATTCTCTCTCATTGTTTGAATTCCGTACCCTTGATGTTTCTATCAATATTTTAACACAGTTCTGACATTTTTTTCGTTCTATCCATCATCACTTCACAACATGACTACCCCACGAGAGTAATGGACTGCCAATAGCCGAGTTTGATTTTTTATGAACCGTCACGCGCCGCCAGGAACAAGGGCTCAGTTTACATTGTCAGCGTGTAACTTTTAGATTATTCTCCATATTGTGTTTCAGCTGTACCTCACTCAAACCGATCATGTGTTTTATTTTTATTAACAAATGGGTTTAAGTTTATATGCTTGTGAGTTCTTTACGTATGTCTTGGTTTATTCTTTTCCATTCGGTTTTTTATGTTTGTTGAACACTACTAATCTTAAGTGGTTTTATTTTTCGCTGGCATTTTTAGTTCTACTGTCTTGTTATATCCTCCACAAACACATAGAACAACATCGCACCCACAGCTTGCATGGTGAGAGAGGAACCCAACACTGGGATGCCGTGACGTCAGGATGTAAACATTCCATGGCAGCACAACACATCCTCACTCGGCCAGCCGTGACCTCGTTATACCAAGTAGGACGCCCCCGCCTTCAACGCCTCCGCCGGGGTAAAGAACATTCATTTTCTGAAGGATACTTGATATTGCCATTATAGTAGATTTTTGTTTACTTCCTTCCCTGCCTCTCTCTCACCCTCGCCCTCATATATCCATCACTCAAATTCTTTTCACTCCTCACTTCATGGCAGGTGAGAGAATGTCAGGTGTCAGGTACGAGAACCTGTCATCACCTCTCGGTAACTGTTAACAAACAACCTCAACAGTCAGTAACTGTTAGTGCGAACTGATGTGGAAATTCTCAATATTTATACAGTAGAGCGCAGGTACCGGGTTAGTTAGTGTCAACAATTATCGTCTGCTTCCCCTCTGTGTAGTTGAGAGTATACAGTAGTTACAAGTTGTCAATATTATGACCAGTGATCCTTATGACTGTGACTTACAACCAATTGTTCTCTTTTCTCGACGCTGAATTTGTTCCTTGAAGTAAATTTGAAAGCTTCGATACTCAGTAAAATTACCATACAAGTTCACATTGGTTCAGAGCAAGTAGGTCAGAATAGGTATTGAGACAGTAAAGTCGATTTAACGACAAATAACCCAAGAAACCTGTTAAAAATATATTAATTGAGTGTTTTAATACAGATTATCCATCAAAACAATACACTGACGTCATCAAATTGATACTTAACATGTTATTGTTTCTAGATAAAGAAAACTGACTAATTTTAACTGGAAAAAATTAACACCACTAAAAACATTTGTTATTCATATTTAAGTATTTATTCAGCAGGCATGGGTGTAACTATCACTCGAGTGGTTGACACATTACTTAGTTAACACATCCCGTCATATCTCTCTTGATGTGTTAACCTTTCTCTGTGTTCCTGTGCTTGAATCTGACATTTGTGACTCCCTCCGGCATCAGCCCGCCTGTAGTAGTGTTGGTAGGACGGTGAGCTTACAGGATGGTTCTGTAGGATTTCTAGATTGTAGGATGATGGTGACAGTAGATGCCACCTACTAACATGTGGTGGTGTGGTATGTGTGGTGGTGTTAGCTGTGGTTGAGGCACTGTAGGGTTTACCTCAGTGCCATCAAGGTCGTAACACCACTTGTTACCACCAGAGTGTTACAAGTGTTCGCTGGGAGTGAACAACATCGTACTTAACCTAACCTAACTTAAAGCAAAACCTTACCTAACCTAATCTTACCTAACCTAACCTAGTGTAACCTAACCTAAAGCAAATCCTTATTTAACCTAACCTAACCTAAATCCTTACTTAAACCTAGTCTCACCTTAACGTGATCTTCGAGAATATTTGTGCTGGATATTTATTGGATATTGTGGGGGGGGTTTTGTTTCTCTGTCCATGTCTGTAAGAGAGAGTAATGAAGGAAAGTTAGTGGGTGTTCTCAGCGCTGCGTGAGTCCGGGTCAGGCTGGTAGAGACGCCAATATGTTGTGGGTTGAGACTGAAAAGAAAATTAGGCATCTAAATATAACCAACCACCAGCAGCACCACCATCACACTCTTCATCAATCTCCCCCCACCACACCGGATGTGACGTCACAGAGCTGCTGGTCTTCTCCCCACCACCCTCCCCCCCCCTCCTCCCCACTTTGACCCACACCGCCGCCGCTCTCGTTGGCGCTATGCTCCCGGGTATTGCCAGAAAAGCGCGGGAAATTGTTTTTTTGGCGCGCACTCTACTTGCTTCCTCCACTCCTTAGTTTTATGGTTATATTCTGCACCTGAGTAAGCTGAACGCGCCAAATTTCTCCGGGACTACTTTTGGAGGAGTTGTTTTAAGTGGATAAGTAGGTTGGATACTATCACTTTAGGCAAATATCTTTCCCTCACCCTCCCTGCACGTAACGTCGAGGCGCCTGGTGCAGTGTGAGCAGTCCTTGTGTTCCGATACCACCGCCTTGATAAATGTAAACATGGAAGGATTTTGCGTCTTATTCAGTTCCTTTTGCACTGTGGCTTATTTTGTATATTATGTTTTGGTATTAAGGAGCTTTGTCCTGTGTATCATTTGAATGACTTAAAATGAAGATAAATGTAAACTTGAAAGATTTCGTGGTCTGTTTTACTCTGCTTCCGATAGTTTGTTACTCAGTTCCTCATTTTGTGTTTGCGTCAGTAAATATTTTTGTCGTGTGTATCCCTTGTGTTAATGTGAAAACGAACATAAAGAGAAGTGATGTAACCTTCTCCCGCCATTTTTGCCACAAGCGAGGATGCCCGCGCGATAGTGGCCGAGGGCATCATGGCTGCCACACTCACACACTACCCGGATTTTCAAAGATTTTTTTTGCGTTTAATGCTTCCCCTAACCGGATGTGTGAGGATGCATCTCACTGATTCACTTAATCCTCAACCTAATAACGACTGCTAAATTATCGGCGTATCACTGACTCGTTGCCTTCTCGCGCCTTCCATTTAAAATAATTTTTAAAGTTAAAATCTGTGGACGGGTCTTCAACAGCTAAGGCTAAAACTGCCCCTTCAAGCACTCGCTTTGTTTACATTTTAACTAAGGTCTCAATACAGTACTGTAACCCATAGTTCTTAGTGGATTTATGAACAGGCGTAATGGAAGTTAAATTTGTTTTTACGTTTTGATTACGCTTATCTTCTCTCCTCACTTGTCAATTTACTAACCAGTGAAGAACTTTTGGTATTTAAGGGTGAGAAGGTGAAGGAATAAGGGTGTGAATTAGGTTGAAAGAGCCAGAGGTAAGTAGGGTGAAAATAATTAAGAGTGAGATTTAGGTAAGTAGTTTAGGGTAAAGAACGCAGGTACAGTTAGTAAAATAAGTGTTGCAAGAATGAGTTAGGGTGAGGATCGCGTGTCACTTCTGGACAGTTGGGTCACTCACTCAACTTGGATGTGATGTGCTGCCCTTCCATCACAACCTCCTTGAGTGAGTGACCTCCCTGCCCCCTACACACACACACACACACACCACTCCAGCTCTTGGCCGCCCACCCTGTCCTGCCACGCCGTCCAGCCTATACTGCCGTTGCACCTGAAGATCAGTAGTCTGCCTGTCAGCACACAGGAAGCTCAGCCTGCCAGGAATCTGCCACCGTCACTACACCTGGATATCAAGTCTGTCGATCACCATACCATACATGCCAGCCATGCCTCCTGTCTTTAGAATGTGTCTGTAAGTTTGTGGCTGAGAGAGAGAGAGAGATTTAAAGTAGAGAAGAGGATAAAGAGAGAGCTGGCGAGGGGATGGGAGGGAGAGAAGGGTAGAAAGAGGACGGAATGAGGAGCTAACTAAGGGAAGATGGTGAGAGGGAGGAGAGGAGGATGAGGATGGAGGTCGACTGCCATTCTGTCTGGTAAAGAACTGGACTGGTGATGACTCACTCTCTCTCTCTCACGAAATGACAAGAATTAAAATAAATAGGGATATATAGAAAGAAGGTGAGACAAGATCGAGTTAAATTAAGAGACAAGAAGAGATGAATAGTTACAGTAGTGTTGGTGGCTGGTGGTGTATACAGTCACGAGTCCCTGATGAGAGAAACAACGCTATATATGGTCTGGTGGAAGCTGGTGACTGTTGGCGACCCCCCCCTGTTGTCCACTGTTAGCGACCCTCTCTCTGTTGTCCACTGTTAGCGACCCCCTCTCTGTTGTCCACTGTTAGCGACCCCTCTGTCCACTGTTACGTTGTCCGACTCGTTAGCGACCTCTGCTGTCCACTGTTAGCGACCCTCAGTTGTCCACCTGTTACGACCCTCGCTGTCCACTGTTACGACCTCTGTTGTCCACTGTTAGCGACCCTCTGTTGTCCACTGTTAGCGACCCTCTGTTGTCCATCCGACTGTTAGCGACCCTCTGTTGTCCACTGTTACACCTCTGTTGTCCACTGTTAGCGACCTCTCTCTGCTGTTGTCCATCTGTTAGCGACCTCTCTGTTGTCTACCGTTAGCGACCCTCTGTTGTCCACTGTTAGCGACCTCTGTTGTCCACTTACTCTGTTGTCCACTGTTATTGTCCACTGTTATGACCCTCTCTGTTGTCCACTGTTAGCGACCCACTCTCTGTTGTCCACTGTTAGCGACCCACTCTCTGTTGTCCACTGTTAGCGACCCCCTCTCTGTTGTCCACTGTTAGCGACCCCCTCTCTGTTGCTTACCATTTATATAATTTTCTTCATTCCTTCACTCCTCTTCAATATGGACATCTCATCGCATTTTCTTCATTAATGGCGAATATAAGACAACTATGTGGATATATTATCTTTTTATGTGTGTACGTATATGTTTTATTTTATATTTTACCATTTTCTTTAGAGTGATGTACTGTAGTCTCCATTATTGTAAAGGGGAGTATTTCCCATTTTCTTTAATACAAAACCGGTTATGACTCATCAATGTAATGGACTAACCTCATCTTATTCACTTTATACTCACCTCTCTCTCTCTCTCTCTCTCTCTCTCTCTCTCTCTCTTGTAATGCGTGTGTACACTTTCCTCAGCGCTCATGGTATATGTATACAGCCACGTACAAGTTCTAGTGATGCGTAAATATAATTCAGAGATATAATGAACTTGATAGAACTGTAACTTGTATATAAACGTGCACTATATTTGAACTTTTATCTGTATTTGAACCTGTACCTGTAATTTTGTCCTGGAAATAAAGTGTTTGGGTGTAAGGCTTAACTAGTCTCAATGGCATGGTTTGGATTTATTTCACATGAATCCTGGACCCAGTTGTTGGCCGTGACGAGCCTTGTGTACTCCAATAAAACAATAAATTACATGTTCTGTATTTATTTAACCCTTATTTACAAAAGAACATGAATATAATAAATAAGTTATTTTTTAGAGGATTATAAATCATTATTAACAAAATGAAGTGAATAAATGAATGAGTTTTGGTGCTCATAAAATTTAATTAGAAATGTCACAGACACCGGAGACTTCTTTCAGTAAATAAACACCTATTTATCATTTACACATGTAAGTATCTAAAAAAAACATTATTGATGTAATAATCTAACAAATTGTGAATAAAATGAAATAAATGGGATGATGTTACGATATATTTTTACAATATTAAGGGAAAAATTCTGCTACAGAGAACGGGAAATTAAATATGATGGGAGACTAAAACAAAGTTAAAAATAATTATTGACATTTTGAAATAAATGTAGATACATTATGAGATGAACTTATGATAGTGACATCTTAATTGAATCCTAAAAAAATTGATAAAACTATTAGATAAATATATTTTAATGAACTTATGGCAGTGATATCGTAACTCCATGCGATAACTGAATATTAATAATATAGATAAATTATATAAAACGGATGTATCTTGCAGTATCACAGCAATTAGTAAAATATATTATCATCAAAATAATTAACAATCTGCAGGGTGCACTATACAGGTATGAAGTTAAAATAATCCCTGTTGTTGTTGTTTTTAGCAATATTTAGCACCATGTTTTTGTTTTCACTATTCTTAACAGGTGAGCCCAATAAATAGCAAGATTAGTATTAGAAGTTGTAGATATTTAATAAATAAATAAATAAATATTAAAAGTATAAATTATGGTAAGAACGTTAAGTAGTAGGAAATGTTTATGTTTTGGGGACAATGTGCAGTACAGTATTGGGAGAGTACCACGAACTGGACTCACAAGGATACACATTAGTACGTACAAACAGGCGTACGTAACACACACGCATACTTCAGCACTACAAGAACACAGACATAAACATCCTTTCAAGCACGTACACTCTCACCTGCACAAACATACACACACCAAGTCGACACGAATACACACAGACAAGGAATTTTAGGCAAACCACGAATACCGGAGTTACCAGGCACAATACACAGTGAACCTACGTACAGAGCTACGCACATGCCAAGTCACACACATACACAGTCAGATAAGCACACAACACATACGCACACACAGTCAAGTAAGCACACATACACACACAAAGGGCCAATCATTAAATGGTGGTGACTGGCGGTGATGACGTCATGACCCAGGCTGGCACCTCTCACAGTGGTAAGAGACACAGGGACACTCAGGCACTGTTACTCACAGCTGCAGGCACTCCCTTGTTAGCTGGGGATCCTGCTGTTCTTAGATGTAAATGATGTCCTTAGCTGTAGATGCTGTTAATTTTAGCTGTAGGTATTGTTGATAGCTATAATTACTGTACTTAGCTGGAAAGTTGGTTAGGTTATGTTGTTGGTTAGTTCGGTTTGTTTAGATTAGGTTACTTAGATTTGGTCAGTTTAGGTTAGTTAGGTTTGGCGAGTTAAGTTTGGTTATGTTGTATTGTTGGTTAGTTAGGTTTTGTTTGATTAGTTGGTTAGGTTAGGTTAGATTAACACTTCCTCTGATATTAAACATTTGAAGACGAGAAACCGTACTAAATACTCTTGTTTCTATTTATAAGATTATTGTATGTGTAATAGATTTAACGGTAAATGGGTATAAATATATATATATGTTAAACGCCTTGTAAGATGCGAAAACAGAATCTATTACCAGATTAAAAAAAACAATCTTACCAACTTCACTACACATACTCATCTTGGAGCTGCCTGTCTGTAACTCGAGTTATTTAATGGAGAAAAGAATATTTATAAACAGTAATAAAATTGTGGAAGTATTCATGTAAACGAAGCATTAGCCTGTTTCTGTGGGTGGCTTATAGTGTGGTGGAGTGCGCATGCGTGTTAAGCGAACTGCGCATCACGGACCACGACCTACAAAACAGTGAGTGTTTGTTATGGTGGACCCTTGTCTTGCCTTGGTTCATCTCTACTATCTGCCATGGGCGCTGACGGTGATAAACAAAGAGTAACCAGATACTCCTCTCACCCAGGCAGGTGTTTTGGCTAATTTAAAATGGTAATTTTTGTAGGACATTTAGGCGGTCATTGTAGACATCAAGAACAGAACTCTACGACCAGGACACACTATGGATATACCATCTTTATTCCACTAAATGAACAATAAGTTAAGGAATTGTGGTGGTTGTTGAGGACAGCTATGGTGTCATGGACTTCAAAACCTGCAAAACGAACCAGTCAAACCCAAATGAACTACCATAACCTACCCAAATTAACCAAATAAACAGTATGCAAATTTAGGTAGGTTAAAACCCATGAAGTTAGCATACAGTACAGTACTATAAAACAATACAATACTCGAATACAACTGTGGGATGCAGGTTGCCCATTAGACACTTGGGGCTCCCGTCTTCATGCCTCCCCCCCCCCTTTTATAATACGTAGATACAGGTACGACAGCCGTATTAACGGACTGTGTTGGTAATAGTTATGTCCGTCATCATGATTGTCTTGTCTGTGTGAAATGTTCGTTAGTCTCAGGAGCTGAACCGTCGTGGCTGAAGGAGGGTTGTGACCCACATCTCCCGTGTTAGTGAGTCACGAGAACTGTATGTGTTTCCTTCCGTTATTCAGGAAACTGTTTCTCATTAATTGATGGAGACAAATATTTCTCTAATGATATTATATTCTTTGTAAATTGTCTGGACTGTTTATCTAATTTAATTATTACTTGCTGAAGGGATCTTTAGCTGTTATATTGAAGAATATATAAGATTTTTGATGAAATTTTGACTATTCCATGTTTTTTAATTATCACATAGGGAAGTGTCTCGTATAAAATTCTTTACTACATCCCCAAGGTCAATGGTCTCTGATATTAGCATATTTTGTGTGGCCCGTGTGACGTTGACCTTGTTTTATGGATCTTTCGTGTGTTATGGGATATACATACAATAAATAAATATATATATATATATATATATATATATATATATATATATATATATATATATATATATATATATATATATATATACTGTATATATATATCGATAATTACTTATAATAAGTTCACAGAGACCAAGAATAACTTTGTAATACTGTATAAGAATCGTTGCAAGAGACCATACGTATTGCTATATAGTCTGTTACGTGCAGCTAGACCACACGGCATTGGAATACAGTTTGTTCTATATGGTTCTTTTATAATCATATAAAAAAAGAGGTAATATGGATAGACTTCATACAAACAACTGGAGCAGGAGGTTGGTGAGCCGATGATTCACTCCTCCGTTTAAGCTTTCAAGATGGTTTGTTTACATTAGACTACACCACCCGCACCCTAATTCCGGGTTGAACGTCTTTTACTAAGTAACTGTTGTCATCAGACTCACATGGTAATATTAACTGTAAAAGTCATATATGGGGAATGCAAACACAAAGCTGTATAGTAAAATGAAATGGTGGTTACTGTACAGCCGTAATAGCTGGACTGCACTCGAGTGAGGTGCCAACGTTTACATTGTCTCCCCATTCACACTCTATTCCTATAATCTTTTAACTGGAATAGTATATCAGATTTAGAGTATCATGATGATTGTGTCTGCCAAGTTTGATTATTATTGTCCTTTCTGCACCTGAGTTATGCTGTAGACTCACATGATTAGAGCCAGTCGGTATTGACCTCTCCATTCCTGGGACCTCATTCGCCTGGGTAATTATTTTAACGTTAAAGCACAGATAACTGTAATTCCTTTAGTGATTTTCCCAATTCTCGTGTTTTTTTTTCCTATTATCGTGATTTCCCTAATTTTCGTGATTTTTTCCCATTTTCGTGATTTTACCCCAATGTTCTTGTTCCTCCTCCCCCCCCCCGTATTTTTTGTGCTAAAGATGATTACATAATGAGGTATAGATATACAGCATATGGATCCAGTCAGCCACTTTGTATATAAACATTAAGGTAACCAAGTCATGTATTCTGTAAACCTACCCTAAAACATCAGCAGGTCACTAGACAATAAAGGACATACAAATTGATGTTGTTATTCGTAGTAATGAATTAAATAAACATCAATTGACCAGGTAATTAAAAGCAAATGCAAGGTAACTTATTAAAGGTAGGTTACAGGGATAAAATAGTTAATGTCTTTTGGGTATTATTATTATATTCTTACTTGTGTAAATTTTGCAATAATAACATCTACATATTCCTAATACTATCCTGTTCTATCTTATTCCATCCTAAGGTAATAGTTAATCATTCGGTAAAATAAGCTGGGGGTGTCTAATGTTCAGTTGATTCATCTTATCTTAACAAACACCAAAAGATTTTCAACAGTATGTTTATTGGATCATTGTTGGCCCCAAATAGCTTTTGTGTTGACCCTGTTGCTCAAGGTCAAAGTGCAGGTGTTCTTTAAAGTCAGTCTGTGTGTATTTATGTAGAATCTTATTATGTCTTCAGGATGAAATATTTTACAGTAACCGATCTTACTGTTTCTGTCAGTAAGGAATAATATTTAACAATGTTGTATTAGTGTACATGATTTACTTACCTAATTTACCTAATGTCACACACACATACATTGAAGAGTAAAGTACATAAATAAACCAAGATTAACATGAGCTTATTTTTTTATGCAGGATCCGAGCCTACCCAACCAGGATCCGGGAGAAGACTGGCCGGACTGACGACCTCACCCGCTGGGAGATACAGAGAGAGTTTAGGCTGGCTACAGAGGTGAGTGACAGTGACTACTTTATAGGGAGAAACAGATGACATACAAAGACACAAATAACTAGATTCAACTACCTGCCAGAGAGAGAGAGAGAGAGAGAGAGAGAGAGAGAGAGAGAGAGAGATCAAACTTCCTGCTAGTGAGAGATAAGGATAGAAAGATAAAAAAAAACCTGGCAATGAGAGACAGGAAGCTACTGTTAAGGAGAATGGTGTTAATAGGTGGAGAGAAAACCAAGTGATAACATTTTTTTTTCATGAAAAGTTATTTGATATTTCCCATTATTTTCACTTCTCCAGTTATAAAGTTGAGAAATAACAATGAATTACGAAAAAAAAAAATCAAGTGTAAATATACTATACTTGTTTTTTTATTTCATGGTCTAGTATTATTTCCAAACTACCAATACAATAGTACGATATTTGTTTCTTGGTGTCTTGCTGAAACTTACTGTCATTGAGGAGTCACAACATTTTCTCTGCCAGTACAGTACATTATATGACACTTGATACTAATACCCTTGCAGCCCTGTAAGTGGTGGTTTGATCTGTTTACGTGTGTTTTGCCTGTCTGTCAACCTTGTGAGTCAGATGGGTGATGTCATTAAGGTTAAACTTAGCATGTGAGTTAAACTTGATATTTTTTGTGTTATCTTTTTGTTGTAATAAGTTTAGTGGTCAAGATTGCACTCAGATAGAAGTGAGGATAGTGAGTGTTTGTCCGAGTGTTGTTAAGCTACATTACAACCATATTCTGGCTTATCTGATGCCTAAAGGAATCATGCACATTACCTGTTGTCCAGTGTTGTAATTTTATTGATTTTCCCATTAAATCTAGTGAATTTATTATGCCATCTGGCAGGGCTAATTGTCAATTTAGCAGGGTTTAAAAGTATCCACAGAAACATAGTAAAATATACTACATTTATTATACTGAAACAACAATATCTTGGTCCTATTCTGGATAATGTTTGGAATGATGACACCAGAACATGTTGCCAAGGTAACCAAGGGCACTAAGTAAATCAAAACAGAACAATTTGTCAATACTGTACTGTACTTGCAGATGAATAGCTGGAAAGTGTTGTATCAAATATAATATATAACTTACATTGGGTTTTACCTGCCTGTTGGACTATGGTGTTAACATGCAAATTATTGAAAGAGAGAGAGAGAGAGAGAAGTTAGGCTTGTTTGGGATTTGAATGTTTACTTTGGTCATTACAAAACTAAACTACAATATACAGGTGAAGATGAGATGTGTGGTCCTCCTTAAAATGCCAAAAAAGAGAATGCTATTAAATTATTGGTAATTTTCATCATTCAGGTTTGGGGTCGAGCTTCTCAACTTCAGTTTATGGAACTTGAACACCAACCTGAGAATGCAGACATCATCATTGACTTCAAAACGTATGTGATGGGTATTTTTTTCCATTTTTCTTTAGTTAGTTATTAAATGTTATATTGCCCTGTCACCTTCGTCATGTTTACTTACAGCATAAACTTAGAGTATACTTATTTACTTTCTTAGTCAGATGTCAGCTTACTAATTGTTCATATAGTCACTTGCCTTTCATTCAAACCCTCAGCAAGTATGAGGCTTGTACGAGCTTGTAAATGTGTTTAAACATACACAAGTGCTGATGCTGGATTATCTTGTGTTATGGTAGATTTCTCCGATATCAAAACACTTTACACCAATTAGCTACTGTATCTTAATGTTGTATGAAATAGTGTTATTAATACAGGGGGTAATTTATTTTAATAAGATTTTATTGCTAAATGAAAAGTACTGGAAGATATTAGAGTTTGATGATCTAAATTAATTTTGGGAGAGTGACATAGAGAGACTTAATACAGTCCTGTCATTGATAAGTTAACATGATTGTTCGTGATCAGGAGCTACCACGGTGATGGGTATCCCTTTGACGGTCCGGGCCGCACCCTAGCACATGCCTTCTACCCTGGCTGGGGTATTGGTGGAGACATGCACTTTGATGATGAAGAACCTTGGCAACAACACAAGGACTCCAACAATAGTGAGTTCTTGTTATATAACTTGTCTGTCACACCACCACCTAAAATAATGATTATAAACAATGAATAGTTTTGCTTATCTTTCATGGATCTCTTACACTGTGATATACATATATCCTTTACTGAACCAATATAAGAAATAATATAAATTTGTATTGTGACTTTTACAGCATTATTATTTGATCAGCATAAGGAGATCCATCATGAAAGGGGTAGTGTATAATACTGTACTATACCTGTACTTTAAGTTCACATAAAAATGTATAAGGTAATAAAAGGGAAATACTGTACAGGTATACTTTACACTACATGTATTAAGTTATTGCTGTAGATGTTTACTGTATATGTGTATTGTATTGTACAATATTACTGACAACTTGTGAATATTTTTCCATAGCTTGGGAGCGAGTGAGTCTTTTCATAACAGCTGCTCATGAACTTGGCCATGCACTTGGTCTCTACCACTCAGATGTCGAAGGAGCCCTCATGAGCCCCTACCTCATCAAGTTCCCCACCACCTTCCGCTTACCTGAAGATGACGTCCGAGGCATTCAGGAGCTGTATGGTGAGTGGTGGAGATTATGCTCATCAGTGTTAGATGGTAATGTGTACAGAACTATTGTTTACAACCATTTAAACATGTATTATTATCTTTTTGTCTAGAATAAATGTGTGCAGATTTTCACAACAAAATTATTATATTTATAAGATAGGTTTATGTGAGGGTTTGCATTAGGCCCACCTCACATAACCCAACTTGGGGGGGGGGGGAGGGGGGGAATGACTTATGTTGATGCTTATTGTGATTCAGTGTATGACTCCTTGTGGAATAAATGTTTTTGCAGTTATCTGCCCATAACTGTGAACCCTATCCTAATAATTATTAAAGGTAATGACTGATTGCTTATAACGAAGTATAACCAATAACTAAGATGGATGTTAGGAATTAATGGAAGTCATTAAATCATCATTCATCAAGTACAGTATACAACTTACCCCATTTATTCTCTGGTGAAAATTTCAGTGTCAAAAGTACAGTACCTGAGAAACTCTACAGAAATCACCCCTTCCATTTTTCTTCTGCAACAGTTTGGTTATCATTATTGTGATATTTAATAATTACTGTATTCATCAAACTTGTTAGAATATGTCAATTTACCAGTAAGAATCTTCCTTGTTCATTTTATGTCCATTATTTCTTTATTGCAAATATTTTTATGCTGTAAAAGAATGGCATCTGTGTAAATCATACACTCTTCTTTTTTTATGAATTTAAGGAAGAACTGAACTAGCAGCATCAGGGGGGACTACAAAAATTATGATTCTCATTGTTGGACTTTAATATAACATGATGGTGATGGAGTTAAACTTTACATTGTTCTCAGGTGTGGATGAAAACTGGCATCAAGAAAGTTATCCGAGCCCGACACCACCGTCAACACCTCGACCAGCGCCCACCAAGCCTCCCGTCACCAAGAAGCCAATTAAACCTCGTAAAAATAAAGGGAAGCCAGACACATGTGATACTAATTATGACTCCATATCTGTGATAAGACGAGAAATATATATATTTAAGGGCAAGGTCAGTGGACTTGAGGCATTAGTTGAGATCTATTGTTAAATATATTTTGTTATATCTGTTGTCATAACTTGTCAAAAGAAAAAGATATGTTTAGTAAAGGAAACAGATAATTTCAATAAGAAACATTTATCTCCTTCTTGTTTCAGTATTTCTGGCGTTTAGATTCAGCTGGAAATTTGAGGCCAAATTACCCTGCTGAGATTACGCGATTCTGGTCAATGCTGCCAAAAAATATAACTCATATTGATGCTGTGTATGAGAGAGCCCACGATGCTAACATTGTGTTCTTCATTGGTGAGTTAATATGTCACAGCTCGTAGAGTTTAGGGAGAACTGTTGAATTATTATTACCATGAAAATACTCATAGATTACAAAATACCTTGCACTGCCAAGGTACTGTAGAAGTTTGGATCTTTACTGTACATGGACACTAGATAAATACCAGTACATAGATATTCAGTCAAATCAAGATACAAGTTTACAGTTGGTCCAGCATATATATACAGTACAGTACAGTATATAGACAGTGCAGGTACATGTATACAGTTAAGCATACATATGGTGAACACAGGTTTACAGTGTACAGAGACCATGGTATACAACCAGTGTACATAAACAGTGCATTCTTGAGTGTGTTACATAATTGCATTTCACTATTCTCTCTTCTGCAGGGGATAAATACTACGTTTGTCTTGGGAACCACCAGCTACTGAAGGTGGGGAGGCTTAAACATCTGGGCTTACCCGAGGACCTGAAGAAGATAGACGCAGCGTTTGTCTGGGGATACAATGGCCGAACTTATTTGTTTGCTGACACAATGTACTGGAGGTAAGTACTGTCTTTCCTTATTGCATGGGATACATAAAATTAAGTTTTGTAGTCATGAGCAATTTAGAATACAAAAAACTTATGCACTAAATGGAGGAGAAAGCCTGTTAATTCATATGTTGAAATATCCAGTATGTAATCATTAAAAGATTTTACTATTATTGTTATCATAATTGTAAATGTTGAAGTAGAATATTGATGTATGTGATCCCATTTTATGGCAGCAAGAGGCGAGTGAGAAATGCACCACTGCCAAGCACCTTGCAGGCATATTCAGTCGAATGTAGTGCTAGCCACTTATTTTGCTTGGCCTAGTAGTCTGTGTGTTGTATCTGCTGGCCCTGTAGGACCCAATTTCTCTTTTCACTGGACTTAATTTGACATACAACACTATACTGGCTTTGGCCAGATGAAATTAGTGTGGTTAGTAGTCATTTGAAATTACCAGGTGGACTAACTTGTAGGCAAAACAAAAATAATCACAAGCCATGTCTTCAGGTAAGGCAATTTAGTCCATAATCTTCTTGAATTTGAAAACTTTCATGTCAGGGTATGAGATTAAATTTTCCAATTAAGATCACATCAGTCAAGGAAGTACAGTATTAGTCATTTTATTATTCATAATGTTCATCATATTTATAAGAACACCATCAACAGGTTTGATGAAACTATACAGCACGTTGAGCTGGATTACCCCCGTGACATGGACATGTGGAGAGGTATTCCTTATGGCATTGATGCTGCCTTCAAATTTAATGGTGGGTACAGTATGTCCTTTTTGTCAAGTTTCACTGACTCGTATAGAGTACTGTACTGTACTGTATATACTTACAGTACTGTAATTATAATGGAAATATCCATACTGTATTGAAAATTTCATAACATTGATTTATTTCCAAGAATTGCATCATCTACTTAATAATTTTTTCCCAGGTACAACATATTTCTTCCAAGGCAAAGTTTTCTGGGAGTTTGATGACTTTCGCATGAGAGTAAAGCCCAAATCTCCCGCACTGTCTGCACCATTCTGGCTGGGTTGTCCCAATGTTGAGAACCCATACTACATGGAGCCATCGGTTAGTAGTAATACAAACTCAGGTCATGTAACATCAAGACCCACAATAGCATCCTATATTACAACAGTATTCCTGCTCTCCTGGGGTATGTCCTGCCTCAGCACCACTGTTCTATGAATATCAGAATACTGTAAATATTAAATGTGATCCAAATCTACAGACCCCACAGAGTTCTCTAGTGATCGTTTTTTAGTAGCTGAAAAATTAACATTATTTAATATAAAAGTTATAGTCTGACATTACTGAAAAGGAGATATAGTAACTAAATACTTGATTGGCATTCAGAATCTTGTGACACCAACTTGAAATGGGGGTCACTTACAGTACTTTCTTGTGTTTACAAAATGCGGTAGTTCTCTGGCTAAATGATTCCTCAGTCTATTATACCTTCAGTCACTCTCAATAGATGACTGTGAACTACCGAAGCAATTATGATAGTTTGGTGAAATTAATATATACCTGGGTACTACCATGTATATTGATTGAAATTTTGGGGGTGTCTTCACTATATTTGAGGAGTGTTAGTGTAGTAGTGTTCTGTATATGGCAAGTACTGTAGTGAGTTTTGTGTAGACAGTCTTTTGTGGATTTTAAAACACAATTTCAAATAAAAAATGAATTAATTTAGTGATATTGTGATATTAATGAGGTATGTGAACAGTTATATGATAGATAATGCCTATGATGGTTTATTGAGTTTACAGAGATAATTAACAATTTTGTGTTTAATGGTCTGCTTCTTCTTGTCCCTGTAGTGATGGGAATAGGTGAACACTGTTACCTGTTCTACTGTTTCCTTTGAAAGTTTTGTGTTGCGAGTGTGAAGACGTCTTTCTGTTGTTGTCACAGTGATGTGACAAGCTTAAAACTTTCTATGATGGCAGTAGTGTTATTATTTTTAGGACCAACTATATGAATGTTATTTTGTTTCATCATTGGTCTAGAGAGAAGATAGTAAAGTATATGATGATCACTGACATAAGGATCTCATTATTTTTCATGCCCAGTTTTCCTATAAGTTTCATTGTCTTATGTACCCCATAAATGATGGTAAAACAATTATACAGTTTACTTAAAGACTCAAGACCTGGAAATTCATAAAAAAGGCACTATAAGGGGTACCGTGGCCACTTGTAGGACAACACTACTACCCATAGCACTTGTGACATTTCAAGCCTTAAGTTTTAGAATACTCATCACTCCCCTTTCTTCACAATAGGTTTATTTTTTAGGTCTGGTACTGTATGTGATTAAGAGATGTCATCAAGAGGCTACACACAACTCTTGCATTTCATATACAGTACAGTACCTGGTAATACTGGAACAAGTGTGGTCTCTGTACTGTTTGAAATTATAAAATAGAATTACTTGCTCTAATACTCTGCTAAAATGAATATGATATAGTGCAAGGCATCGCTTATATATGCTTCTCTTGGTGGCAGCAATATACTGTACATGATGTCTTACAACAATGTACAGGTACCATATACACACTGCCTTACAGAGTGTCATGGAGATCATGTGACTGATTGTGTTAAACAACGTTGTCCTCACTTGTGAGAGACCTTGTACTGTATTTACTTGAGCCTTGCCAAAAGATTATTAGGAATACAGTATATTTCTGTATGTGGGTACTGACTGAAGAAACTTCATGTTTTGATGTGTAAACTGTACACATTTTATCTTTATTGTGCCCTAAAGTTCTCATTGTTTAGAGGCTGTTTATGATGAACGTATCACTGCTGTATTACTAGTCATGTTTACAATAATCCAACTTTTGTCTAATTTATTATTAAGTAAGTGCTCAGCCATTTCTTTCCTTCACCAGTAAATTATCCACAATGTTGGGACCAAGGTCAGCCTCATGTGTCACGGACTATCTTGTTAAGGAAGACGCTTAATGTTCTTTTCTTTTGTCAGTGTTTTGTTGTTGTTATAGTAAAGGGAAGAGGTATATAAATATTTTGGTAGTTTTTAATCAGTGGTAGAAGTACTATAAATGTTTCATTCACTTTCTTAGAATAACAAGTATGATCAGAGTGGCAGGGATGAATATTCTTCTCCACAACTGTCAGTACTGTAACCTGAGTTGGTCAAAGTTGTTACAATTTAAGGGGAAAAATACCATACTGGTCCCATTTATTACATAAGGTTGGGATAACAGATATACCTGGCAACACCGCACAAGTAAGGGCCTGCTGGCAGAAAGAAAACATGGAAAATTTTATGTCGGTTAGTTAGGAAAGGCCGGCTTTTGGCTGACTAATATAGGTAAAAAAATGTTTATGAATCCGTATAAAAATAAGTTGGAATATTAGTGATTCTAATTTAATTTTATATCACACGTTTAGTGGTCGTTGTGTAGCTTAGATCATCATTTAGTTTTATGTTGCCTTTGTGTTTATTTTAGTGTGATACTGTATGTATAATCTTGCCACAGTGATGACTCCTGTAGGAGAACATATGCATAACTACAGGCTGTCTCAAAAAAAAAAAATAATTACACACTGCTTTACAGATAATCCTGGAGATTATGTAAATATTTGTATTACTACAGCAACATTGTCCTCACTTGTTGATGTGGATTGTACATCAACAAGCGAGAACAGTGTTGCTGTTGCAATACAAACATTCTTGTGATCAACATTAAAATCTGTAAGGCATTGTGTATAAATTTTTTGGGGGGACCCTGTATTCCTTAAGCTGACCTTTAAGGTATTTATTAAGCTGTCAGTTTCTGATGGTTATTCTAGACAAATTATTTATTGTTTACAATGTATGTGTTAACAGACTAATACACAAACTGTGTATACGCTGAGTATTTTTGGGGTGTTGCATCAAATGAATAAGGTGTTGGAGTACTGTACTTTTTTATTATGATGAAATATGTATACCACATAGTATCTTGCTTGCATTATGTACATCAAACTATCCATGGAAGATTGTCTGTTTTACCACAATGCACTCAGTGTGTACATATTCCCACATAAATAAATATACAGTTCTGTAATAATACAAATAGTTATCCCTATTGCTTGAGGATGGCCGGCCCTAGGGCCACCTTGGTGTGAATTTGTTTAAGGTGTAGAAGCTGTCGTCAACACAACAACCACACCTACTGTACTGGCTAACCATTACCCCGGAACACGATCCGCAAATGGATTAACATCCAGGTCCCCTGTTCCTGCCTCACAGACAACCTTTTCCCAATACAGTACTGTAGTTTTACTGTAGATTAACCATTATTTCTTTGTTTCCCTTTTTATTTTTATTGTGTATTTTCCCTGTTACCTACTTGCCTGTACATTTTTTTTAAACATAACCGCTCAATTGTATAACGAAGAAATCAACATGCAAACCAACATCTATGATAAAACTATTAAAATATGATCTTATCTAAAGTCTATGTAAAATATTCTTGTACTTGATCATCTCACAGCATTAGTCTCAATACAGTACAAGTAACTGCTAGATAATGTTCCCAAATAGAAATACAGGTAGAATCATTTACTTAAATGAGACACTACAGTACCATACCTCAGTAGATAAGTAGTTTAGACTCATTTCAGCAGCATCCAGTCTTGGGTATGGAAAGGGACTTCTGTTTGTGATGGGTAAAACATTTTATCTTCAACACAGCACAGAATGTAGGGTTCGATGTTAACCCGGGGTCTGGCGTATAACAGTATCTGAAGTACAGGTGTTGTATTAAGTTATGCCTTTTATTACATTTCTTATAACAATACAAAGATTTATAGGCATGTCATATGGATGAAGGTGATTGCGTCCTTGAGAAGATTATAAAAGGATAAAATATAACCATAAGTTAGTAAAGAAGACTGTCCTATAAGAGTGAATGCAAATATGACTAGGTGATAGTCTAGTTGTAGAATTAGGCTCTTAAAGTGAATCGTTTAAGGGTGGTGTGTAGTATGAAGAGATAGGAGGGATAAGGAATAGGTTAATGTCAAGGAGATGTAGGGTGGATGTGAAAGGTTGGAGACAGGAGGTTGGCACAGTGTGGGTTTAGAGAGTTCCTTAAGGTAATGTGGGAGAAGATGATGGAGGGTAGAATGGCAGAAAAACACCTTATTTTATGGTAGGTGCAGATACTTTATTTTCAGAGCAAAAGTGTTATATAATATAGAAGAAAAATCATATCTCACGACCAGGCCAATACCGTCCCGAGTTTGTTAAGTTCTTAATATGTCTGTAGTGTAAATAAGAGAACTTAACTGATATAGGGTTTCCTGATATATATCTGTTGAATATGATAGAATTTTGTCACTGCTAGATTCAGGTCTATCCATTAGCATTATGACACAGAGGAGAGTTGTTTTGGTATACGTTTTACAGGCAGATATGTACTGGAGTATTTTGTTTCTTGTCATATAGAATCAATTTGCCTTTTTCATATACCACACACTGTACTGTATACGCAGGTGATTTTGATACTCCAGTATTTTAACTTTCATCTCATATATCACAAAAATTTTAACTTAATTTTTAAATATGCTAATGATATTTAGTGTTGTGCAACAACTTGCTGTCCTCCATATTCTTGGATTAATGGACTGGTGTGATTTTCAGGTGAATTTTATTTTTAATTCATTAACAAAATATATTAGTTGATCCCCTGGACTTGTCATTTACAGACAATCACAGTTATCACATCACCAACTGTGATTTGAGATTAAATTAACGGTTTTAAGTCGCTAGTGCCTGTGATATATAAAAAAGCATTAACAGTTTCAATGCCCTCTTGCACTGTAGGAATATTTCATCTTGGTGAGTCAATGGTGACTTTGAGTATTTGAATCTTGTTGATAGCTTCTATCTTGTTGTTCACTGACAAGATTCAGTACAGGATGAGTGAGAAATAACCGACACATTTTGTGCATGGTAAACAGAAAATGATAAGTGGAAGCAGCATCAATTGTATTCATGTTTGTCTTGTTGGAAAGAAATTCAGTTTTGAGAAGCAGTATTAGCTTGTATCACTGTGATTGAATGACACTTGCAATGAAAGTGTTATTACAAAAAAATTATATTTGTCATTAGAGAACTTTTGTAACATATCATTACAGAAGTTTGATAATACTGTATCATATTTAATTTCAGGATTTAGATCATATATGAGTCATTTCAAAATATGGGTGTTGGAAGTGTGGTGCTAATTTTGTAAAGACTAATAACAAAAGGTGACGTGCAGCATTAAAGGATATATACCGTGATTAATTAACAGATGACCGTGAAGTAATTAAGATGAGGGGATCATCACGGGAAAACAAAACAAAGGTGACGACAATCAATGAGGTGTGTTGTTGTGACCATGTTTTAAAGACTGATAATGTTCACTTATTTTATGAATGTTGAAAGGTGACAGACAAAAAACTCAACACAGCACTAAATATTGAACCATGTTAGGATGAAAGTTGTGTGTTGTAGCCCCTCTAGTATCAACCCCTCTTGTAGTGATACCCTGATTGAGAGAATTAACCTGCAGCTCGGAAAACTTATTAAAGAGGTATATTTCAGCTTGGGAAACTTATTAAAGAGATAAATTTAACTCTGGGACCTTTTTAATGAATTTATGGAAACTTGGAGATGATAACTGTAACCAGTTAAGTCCTTCTAAAAGTTTTATGTAAAGCAAGTTAGCTATATGGCAGAAATGTGAAATGTTATCTAACTTTGATATTATTCTCAAAAAGGAAAAAAAAATAAAAATTCATGCCCAAACTTCTCCTGCTTAATTATATAAACTTTTTTCCCCAAGCTGGACTTCTGATATCCCTTCCTGTTCAAGATATTGCATTGCTTATATAAAAAGTATTGGTGTTACATAAAGAATTAACATACCCCAAGTACCACAGCTGATCTCCGCAAATTTTGTATATGTAATCTCATTGTTTTATGTAAATATTGTATATGTTTTATTTGTATTACTTTCGTTAACTTCTTTTGTAATACATAGCAGACATTAGTATAGTCATAAAAAAATAGGGCTTGACATTGAACTTTGATTTTATTGTGTATAGGTAAATGGATTTAACCCCCCCCCCCCTCCCTTGTTATAGTACAGTAGTTAAAACAACTATCTGTGCAGGTGGGGGTCGATATGCTCCGAAATTTTACGTGTGACCAGTGACAGCCCTCATATACCAAAATTTATCATCCATGGTCTTGTATTGTTTCCCACAAAGTATGCACAGATAGTTGTTTTAGCTACTGTACAGTATGTATATACAGGGTGTCCTTAATGCTTGGTGTAGAAATAAATTGTCGTCTGGTCATTATTTATATATTTTCCAAAAACAGAAAGTGTATACTGTACTGGGTATCATGTGAGTTTCTTTAACAAGTTATACTAAACCTTCATGTATAGTGCCTTCCATCATTATCGGTTAATAAGTGATTGTTGATGATTCAAAACAATGACAGATATTGCTGTGACGTAATCACCAATCCACGTTTTAATTAATTACTTTCCCGTTTTTTTTTTGCGATCAGGAGTTGTCTTCAAGTATAGTATTCCCCAGAGTTAAAATTTAAAGAAGACAGATCACCTGAGTCATTCTACCATCCTGCGAGTGTCTCAACCAGGGAAATGTACACACTAAAAAGAAAGAAAACAGAACCAAGTTGCAATGATATAAATGCCCCAGGTATCTGTAAACTCATAAAGAGCATGTACTGTACTAATAAGATTAAATTATTTCCACCCAAACAACTAAACCAGAAAAGTTCTTTGAAACCTTCAGGAGTTAGAGTTCACAATCTGTAGACCCTGTTGCGTGACAAACGGATGGAATACTTTAATTCAGGATGGTCCCTTCCACATAATTATTGGATTTCATAAAGATTAAGCGTCAGTCATCCCTGAACACCTTGTGCTGTACATACAACGGAACTCCTAGTAAACATTGCTGATGATTTACCCAATGACTGCATTTTTGACACTGACCACCTTTTCTCTTGTTACTATACCAGTACTGTGTAGTATTTCTTATGTGTTTGAGGCCCTTATGATTACCTGTGTAGTACATTCATTATCACAGTTTCAGGATTCACAAATGTAAGATTATGGTACATTCTCAAAAAAAAAAAATATATATATATATTTATTTACTGATAGCATTTAGCTTTAAAATGGGGCACCTGTCTCTACCTTAGCAGTGCATTAAGGATTATTGTAATTAAACTGTACAGTAGAAAAATATGACCCCATATTGGGTATACATCTTGTAAGTTCACATACAGTATTGGTAATAGTACAGTATTTATACACTGTGCAGTACCAGCAAAAGTTAGTGTTCATCAATTTAATCTCAATATCACAGTTCTCTTGTATATTTTGTGTAACAGCTTGGTAGTCATAAGGGAAACTTAACAGTCATTACAGAAGTACAGTACAGTACCGTACCTTGTTTAAGTTCATCTTCTTGCTTGTTCCTTATATGTATTTTGAGAGATACAAGGTGCAGGCATATAATTTTCTTTGTACATTTTATATTTAATATGTACCAGAAGTAATGTTATTTTTAATTAATGTCAGAATGCAAGCAACCCCCCCCCCACCCCCCTATATGGTAACCTACCCTGATAACTTACCATAAACAATTAGACATCTCAATGTCAAGCTCTACAACACCATTAAAAATGTGAAATACATTCACTTAACTGAATTGTAAGACACAGCAATCACTGCCTTTATTTTAGTTAAAACTTATCATAGAATCTGTGTGAGGAATATTATATTTGTCACATATATGTGCACCATCAGCTTGCAAGGGTGACAAGCTACAGCTATAGCTTTAAGTTTATGTCGAAAATGGTGATGAAGATGTAGCATTCTTTTGTTTTTTATAATGCTTGAGTGTTTGCTTCCTCTGCAGTATCAAGGATTATATATATTGTGATTTTTTTATGAAATATAAGAGTTATACTCATGAACACATTAACCTGATCATTGTGACTGATACAGGAAGCTGTTGATAATATCCTCGTATTGTATTATATTCTGTGCCCGGTACAGGTACTACTGTGGTGTGGAGAAACTTCTTGCATACATTAGATGTTACATCATTTTAAATATTCTCGGTGTACTTTTATATATAAATACTGTACTGCTGATTTTTAACCATCATGGCACTCATAGTCTTCATGTATATGTAATGTTATATACAACAGTTCAAAAGGATTTAGTTTGATGAGTATGCTTATAATTTAGGCAGCTCAGGGTTATGCCTATTGTGAGTGACAAAAAATTTGTATACCCAGACCTTTGGATCCTGGGCCAGAGGTCTGTTTTTCTGTGCCTGAAATTCTAGGTGGCAGTAATATTTTGTTAAGACTGTAGGTGATGCACAGTACTAAGCAACTTGAGTCATTTAATAGCTTCAATAAGTTAGGTCTACCATTTTATGAACTTGCACCAAATGTCAGGCATATAGTGGATACTAGGAGGGCAGTTGAGGTGACAAATGTATCTTGCTTTGACCGATGCATTCCACCTCACAAAGGTCATGATCACAATCTTTTAAAGGTGGACCAGGTACAGTCACCCAAAAAAGTTCTGTCGCGAACCACAAACCCCGAAGCAGTAGACACTGATACATTATTCTGTCCAAAAATGCTTCGGATTTAAGAGTCTGAATCTCGGGGTTCATGGTTCGCGACAGGACTTTTTTTGGTGACTGTACACCAGGTGTCCTCTGAACTCTGCTGTAGGTAATACTGTAATGTGTTGTAATATACATCTTTGGTTTATATGATATTATCTTGTTTTATAAAGATAATTTCCTGCTATACAAAACAGTGCTAACAAAACTGCATGTAGCAGAGAAGGGCACTGACCAAGGAACTTAATTTCACTCATTTGAAATACCCTGTTCAAAAGTATTTATTGTACCACCAAAGCTAATAATTGTTACTAAATGCTGTTTTAAAGTTGCCAGTTGACAGTAATAAAGGAAAATTTATTCTCTTGACTAAATAAATATGATTATATTAAGAGATGCCAAGTGTTGCAATATACCAACACTTCACGATGTCACACTAATGTACAGTTAGATGGCTGATGGCAGAGTCTTCAGGCCGAGAGTTTTATGTGTCCCAGGAGTATCAGTAATTATTTAAAGCAGCGTCAAGAGGCTAGAGGATTATAATAGTTGTGACCAAATGATATTGGTTATTTTGGCTGTTTGTAGGAATTATGCAACTTTATAATAATATTGTACTGTAAATCTTTGGTTCTGTACAGGGAAGCAAAAGTGCAGTTTGTATATTTTGTGTTTCTTATTATTTAATCATACTTTTGCATTTTTTGCTGAGGTTATTCCACAATTGCTTATTTGATACTTATGTATATAGTAGGTACATGTATGAATAAACAATTCCTGTCCCATCTCTGTGTTTTCTTTCATTCAGGATATACCAAGAGTACTGTAATAAGACCCATAGCAACGTGCCCCACCATAACATTCGGGTGCAGTCAACTCCAAAAGTCCATTTTCCTTTTCTCCTGAACCATGAACCCGAAGCAGTAGACAGAGTCATTATTTTGCCCATAAATGCTTCAGATTCAAGAGTCTGAATCTCAGGGTTCGTGTTTCAGAGGGAGAGACAAACATGGCAACAAGGACTTCAAGCTAGAGTGAGTGTTATGCTACTTTCACAACACCAGGTAGGTTAGGCAACTTGTGTTTACTATGTAGAAAAACTTAGCTGCATTCATTACACCACAAATTCCAAAATACCTGGAAAAATAATCACAAAGGAAAAATCAACTCCGGCTTGATGGTTCAGTAGAGGCGGTACAGTATAGATAAATCTCACTTTTTTTTACACTGGTTAAAACAAAACTACAAGAGTACTTAGCCCTAATTTTCCCTTATATACATGCTCAGTATGGTGCCAATTACTTAAGACAAGGAAGTGTGGTAAACAGTACACTGATCCATGTGAGATATGTTTAGCTGTGACTGTAAGGTGCCACTGATATACAGTAGCTACAGTGATCATTTCATCACTTACTTGCCATTCAGGTGGTTGGTTGGTCTGTTCTTTGTTATGACCTTTATTGTCCTGTGTTAGTACAAGAAGCCAGAGTACTGTACTTGGAGAAAACCTAACCTGGGGATTATACTCAAAACACTTCGTAACTTACAATATTGGTGACCTTTTAACCAACTTACAGTATTTAAATTTACAAACTGCTTATAATATTGTAAATCCCCCATACACAAAACTATTTTACAACATTGTCAGGGCACTGTAACTCAGATGGAAACATTGTAACTCAAATAGAAACATTGTAACTCAAATGGAAACATTGTAAAGTCATCATGCTAACCAGTTGGTCAATCACAGTTTAGGTAAAAGTGGAGGAGATTGTTAGCACCAGAAGGACTTAATGGAATTGCACCAAATTTTCAGATGTTGTTTGGATGACACCAAGTCATAATACTGAGATGACAACATTGTAGAATTTTTTTTTATCATACCCTTTGACCATAAATGACTTATTAGTGAGCAGGGCATGAAATAAGAGGGAAATAATGGGGTAAAAACACTGCAAACAGTGATATGGCAGTAATTTCACATCTAAATGCTTCGTAGGTGAAGAAAATAAAATATTTACCATAATTATGGCACTTTTGGGCGTGTTTATTGCAACTTATAATAGATTGAATTCGTTCAGTTTTTCTAGAGGTGTTTGGATGATAGTAAGAACATTGAAATAACAAAGCATAGGTTAGGTCAGGTTCTAATAGGTTCTGTGCATTCTCGTTCCCATTTTCATGTACAGTATCATGCAAATAATATCTCTAGAAATTTTGGTTCAATTCCATAAGTAATTTATGGTGCTAACTACAGTATCTCCTCCACCTTTACTGAAGTTTAAATAGCTGAAGACGGAAGACCCAGCTCTCGAAAGACACCCAAATTTTCAGATGGAGAGGTTTTAGGTACTGTATTTTCTGCAGTATTCTCTGATAAAACAGCTTTAATGGGGGTTTGTCATAGCTTGGTAGGCATATTCTATTTATGTAATCTGAAAATATGCAAGCTATATAATTATGTAAGGGCTTTATTCCATTACAAGAACTCCGAAGGGCCTGTAAGTTACGGCCTCCAGATGTAATGCGTGACGTTACAATATGGCAGTTATAATTTTTTTGGAGTATCGCTACACAGGGGACTTCCAACCTCCTGAGTCAGCTGGGAGATACCATACTGTGAATCCTTTTGAGTATCCAGCTCTTTTTTCATCTTACCTGGGTTAGGAATTGAACCCAGGACTTACAGTAGTGAGTGATATGTGCATTATTGGCTTAACACTGTATCACCAACACCACCAATACAGTAATACTTATTTGCTTAAGATAACAGTGGAAGCAAAATAAAGTACCTGTACAGTATAAGTAAATGAGAAGATAGTTACTGATATGCAGGCAGATATTTATTCAGTAAAATTGTAATATAAGTTCACACTGCTTTAACAAGTACATATGTGCAAATATACAAACAATAGTAAAAAAGTAAATAAATTTGACCTTGGATAACCCCAGACAGTCATTAAAAGCTTATTTTCATTGGGGTCCTTTGTGGAAACTAAACAATAAAAAAAAAAAACCTAAAAATTAGACATATTTGTAACAAAATGTACCAAGCACTACACTGTATGTAGGTGAATTATTTCTACAATATAATGTTCTTAAGTCAGTACTGTACAGTATATTACAAAAAATCACTCTCTTGCCATAGCTTCACCAGCACTGTATTTTCTAATTTTAATTCTGAATCATTTGATATTACAGTACTAATGGATTTAACAAACAGGTACAGTAGTTAGATAAATTGCAATAGTCCTTTATAGGTGAAACAAGAAAGTGCTTTTTGTTTGACAACATACACCAGGTACCATAAAACAATATTGCTCTTAGTGCATTGCTGGTTCAGATCCTCATCCTTATAATGTGTGTTCAAGATATCCTGGACACAAACAATAACAATATTAAAAACATGATTTAACCTCAGCTTCTATGCTCTACTTGCCACACTTATTATGTCCAATGTTTCTAAAACTTTGTGAATGACATGATCTCTTGCATCCATATCCAACTTGCTTTGAATTTGTAATTTAATTTATAGAATGCATTAAGGAAGAACTTTGATAAACAGGAACTAGTCCAAGCATTACTGCATGAGAGCTAAGCATTGGGTCCTTTGAGCCTCAGCTAGAAGGCACTGGACTTTTCTATGATCTCATGAAGATTAAGAACTCCAGTGTATGTTAAATGTTTAGGGTTAGGTTTGGTTAAGTTACAATATGGTGTTTAATCATAAAGTGAATTATGTTGGGATTCTTAATCTTCAAGGCTCTCATCAATATAGACATTTTACCCAAGCAATGGTTCTCATTACTAAAATATTTACAATGACTGTATTGCTCTAGATAAGTAGTTGAGGGTAATCTGACGGGTACAGAGCATCATTGTGCCATATATTTATCTACCTGAGCACACACAGCTCTTTGTAAGATATTAGAAACAATACATAGAACACTATCTGACTTATAACTGCCTCCATCTGCACCACTGTAATTGAAAATGGAAGTAACTCCGGCAAACTCGTGATCATCTGGCACAGTATTTTTGCTAATGGAGAGATTAATTAAATGTGTTAAAGGAGTTTTTAATCCAGAGGCACCATCCCTGAAAAACCTGGCCGGGTTATCATCCAGACCTGTGCTTTTGTAGAGATCTAATTTATTTAGCTCTTCTAACACAAAGTCCTCTGACACAGTATGGAGTTCAAGACTGTTTGGAGTGGTTCCTTTTTTTAGATGACAGGATTTAGAAGTATCTGTGTCCTGACTGTCATTCTGTGAGGCAATATGTAATTTACTGACTAATATTGGGGCATCTGTTGTATTATAGGAGTTCAAATACTTTCGTACTTCAGATGCATCATGACAGATTTCATTATGAATATTTAGCACTATGTTAGAATGGTCTTTTGGCTTGTGGCTGTATCCAAGGGCTTCTAGCTGTTGCCAGAGTGTTTTGGGATTATTTTCCTGTTCCTCACTCTTACTGTTCATACTATATTCTTCCTTTGCTCGCTTTATATCTCTCTGTACTTTATTTTTAACCCTACAAAATTCTCTACGTAACTCTTCATCATGTCGATGTTGTTTTACCTTATAGAAGAGCTCGTTTTTGTATCGGACTGATTCTAATATCTCAGTCGTCATCCAAGGTTCAGTCCTAGCTTTTATTCTGGTATCCTGTAATGGCACTACATCGTCCAGAACACCGATAAAAATAGTTCCGAATTTCTCCCAAGCCATGTTTACCTCCATGCAGTGTGTCACTTGTGACCAATCAATATTTTGTAATTTATTTTGGAATATTTCTTTACTATAATTCCTCATGGATCTCATTTTGATGACCTTGTGCTGTCCTATTTTTTCTCTAATTTTTTTCCTACAGCAGTAAGTGATAAAGTGGTCATTAAGTCCTATAGGGATGACACTTGCCTGACTGATTTTGTCTTGGCTGCTACATATTACATGGTCTAGTATGGTGGCTGAGACCTTTGATCCCACGGTCGAGGAGTTGATTAGCTGTTTATAACCGTTTTTATCTAGGGTTTGTTTATACCTTTCATATGACCCATTACCTTCTTGTCCATAACAAATATTAAAGTCACCTTGTATTATTGTTTCACAGTCAGGACTAATTTTAGATAATATTCTGTCAAAGTGTTCCAAAAACTGACCATCATAAGGTGAGCGGAAGAATGCACCAACCAGTATTGGCTTTGTTTTAGGTAACAATATTTCCAGCCATAAGCCCTCAAGATGATTATCAATTAAGTCTGATCTCAGGTTATAAGTCAAGTCATTTCTTATATAAACACACACACCACCTCCATATTTGTTCCTGTCAAGACGTTCTAAACTGTAACCTTCAATTCCAATCTGTTCATCTGTGACAGACTCATCCAGCCATGACTCTGAGATGGAAAATACAGCAGCATTGGTTTTAAACAAGAGAATTTTAATTTCCGGCATCTTACGAAACAATGCTCTGATATTTATGTGCACAAAATGCAGTCCCCTATTCTTAAAACACTCAAAGGCATCATTTTTACTGTTATTTGGTGCAGATTTGTGATATTTTACACATACATTACAGACAACTTCAACACCACGAGACATTATCTTGCCACGTTCCTCCTTGGTCATGGTGCTGCGGCTACATCCTACGTGCATCCATTTCTCACACAAACTACACTTTATGGCAGGGCTTTGACTACACACCCCCATTCTACAATAAATACAAAGGTCCTGAGGCTGTCTACCTGCTTGTTGTGTTACCTTATTGGTGTAGTTTTGGTGACGGGTGGCCAGTGGCACGGCTGCTGGTGACGGCTGATGCTCATCCATCCTCGATGATGCTGGGTTGGCAGATGACGACCGATGATCACCCTTCCTCCATGCTGTTGAGTTGATGGGTGATGGTTGATATTCACTTACCAGCACTGATGTTGGGCTGGTGGGTGATGGGCGATGTTGACCCTTCCCCCATGATGTTGGTAAGGTAAGTGGTAACTGGAGGTCATCTGTCCATGATGATGTGGTGGATGGATGCTGGTGATGAGATGGATGCTGGTGATGAGACGGATGCTGCTGTTCAATGATGCCATTATAATGGTTCTCCTTTAGGTGTAGTAATATTGTCATGGTGGAGTGACCACTGCAGGGTGATAATCTGATTGTCTCTACACAGTCGGCGTAATATTCATGGTAGATATTTATATTGACATTAAAACTATTAGCTAATGCTTGAGGGACGTGATCACCACACTTACTGTTATACTCGTCCATTAGAGTTGCTCCTCGTAGATAATAGTCACTGTAGGTAGTCGTTTCTTCACATAGTCTTTTCTTGACATATTCAAGATCTAGCTTACGCCCACTCTGTACTTGACTGTTATAAGATGTCAAGAAGGAGTGGAGGAGACACAGACCATCATCTAGTTCTGGAGAAGGTTGAATTAGCCACCTGTTGTAGTGAAGTAATGACGACAAACTGTATCTTTCCTGGGAAGCCTCCATCTAGGCACTGGTGGTGTGTGTATCATGTGGGTGATCTTCAAGTAGTGGCACTGAAGAACGCAGGGCGATTTTCACGTAGTAATACCAGGATGTCGTCGCCGTGTGCTATGGTGGTTATAGCTGGGAGTATGAGGCAGTTAAACTTCTCCCGGGTGTGGAGGAGGGATAGAGAGCCACCCACGCGGGGATTGCTTTGGGTGTGGCGCTGTTGTCGGATCTGCCTGAAATATATGCGTTTTTTGTGATTCCTGATGTACTTCTCTAATACGCCTGTCAGACTTTATTCAGTAGATAGTTATTTCGTGTCAATGTTCCAAACGTGTGAGCACAAACAGGAAGTCGAGTGTAGATTCGACAGGATATGGCAGCAATGGTGGCACTGTTTGGGGCTTGTGCCAGTGAATTTCAAATTATTTTCTTGAAACATACTTCATAAATCAGGTAGTTTGAATTTAAATTTCACTTGAAAGTTGACCGTGTGTACTACATCAGTGCATAATGAAGGATTTCAAATTCTTTGTTTACATGTGATTACTTAATTCTTTGGTAACATTACTCAATGAAGTTATCAGGTGAACAAGATATACCGGTATATATTTATTCATTAAGATCATTAATTTCACATCGATTCAGCAAATATTAACTCCAATTAACCAAGGATAGCCCAAGAAAGATATTAAATTTTATATATTTCTATCTTTGTACACTGAATACCTACGTTGTACATATTCAAGACGAATCAAACTGTAAACTTTTATAACGATTTTACTGAGAGAAAAAAAAATATTATGGTTATGGAGGTATACCCCCATGATAATGGTAGTAGAGCACGTACATCACTCATGTTTATCCTCCTGGGTTCGAGTCCTAGCTCAGGGCAAAAGTGAGAACTAAGAAGGTTATTTCCCATGTATCATAAGTTTCTTCCGTGATCTCATGTTTCCTCCTGTACAAACACTTTACAATAAAACACATACAATAGAATAAACCCACCTCCTGAATGGCCAGTAAGCTGATAAGCGGTGAAACGATAAATAAAAAAAATTCCGTTAAACATGGTAGGGGGAAGCTGCCAGGTGTTGCCATGTGTGTGTGTAGTGTGTTGAATATCTCGTCTTAACTAATATTTGTGTCCTTTATCTTTAAATTGTCTGAAGTTATTATCAATGGTAAGGAATTTTTACATTTTAGGGGGATGAAGTTGCTAAAGTTAAACTAAATTGAGTGTAGTACTGTATTGAGAAGTTGTTCGTGAGCCAATGTGAGTGTATGACTATCTTCCTACACAAATATCTTTTGTCCATCTATCTATCCGTCTATCTATCTATCTATATCTATATTATGTATATATTTATCTATCCAGGAGTACTACATATAGAAAAATAATTTATATTGACAATACAGTAACTTAGTATAGTACACACCCCCGTACAGTATAGTTTGTCTTCTGCATCATCTATCTAACCAACTGATTATCAATATATTTATCTAAGTCTTACAAGTAAAAATAAATAATTTATATTGTCTACATATTAGTCAGGTGAAGAAAGTTGCAAAATCTACCTTGATCAAGTCTATTTTTTATCACAACCTACATGATGAACCAGTGTGAATTTGTATTATTATGTAACTAATATAAAATGCTCAGACTTCTGGGTTGGGGAACATTACAACGAATATTCTGTAATTAAAATGCTATCTAGATATCTAAAAGCAAATGTATATAATGCATTTATATTTGAATGTACTTGGAGGTGATTGATACATTATTAGAAAAAAATAATTGAGATAGAGATTTACCCATGAGAGTCATTATATAATTTCACCTTGGTTCATGGTGTACACACACAGCGTTGATACAGTACTTCAGTGATTAAATCCCACTTGGACAATCGTCTGTTTTATGTATTTAACATAACCTAACCTGACCTGACCTAACCCAACTCAACCTAACCTACCCTAATCTAACCTGACTGGTACAGTATACAGTATAAACAATGGTGAACTAAAAGTTGATTAGTCAAGGATAATCAAAGAAAGTTGTTTATTTAGTATATTTAAGAAATGTGAAGTAGGCTGTGGTCTCAATGCCTTCAACTCTTTGCAAATTGAAAATAAAAATACTGAACTAGGTCTGATTTTAGCAGGAATGAACCACTAAGCAATATACAGTTTACTGTACACTTTTGGTTGTTTGGCAATACTCAGTGATGTGTTATGCTAAAATTTGGTACTGCTGTATATAGAGTGACAATGGTCTTTTCAATTTGCGGAAGGACATGGCCCACTGCGTTTTCGTAATTGCCATAGGCTAACTTACCTAACCCCTCCATTTAGTATAAGAATGTGCCATCATCAATTGAAATAAGCTAGGGTTCCAAATCTTCACGAGATCCAGAAAGATAATCAGTATTTTGTAATGAAACTTTTACTTTGAAATTATATATATCTTGGTATACTGTAATCACTGTATATGAAGTTCTTCCATAAGTTGGAGTTTTATCATGTTAATGACTTTTCAGACATAGTGGTTGCAGACCTGGTACAAGTACTTACTGAAACCGAGGAACCTGACCTATGCAATGTTTCATCAGCATCCGAGTGTCGGTAACAATAAACAAGTCTGCAATTTCTACCTGAAGGGAACTTGCAAATATGGCATAAGATGTTGGAATTTACATCCACAGGACCAAGGTAAAGTTCCTCATCAGAATTGGCATGTCAGTATCAATAAGGAAAAGTACATTATCTACCAGAAAAGAACTAGCAAATACGACACAAGATGTTCGAATAGGTATATGCAGTAAAGTTCTTTGTCAGAATTTGGATGTCAGTAACAATAAGGAAAAGTACATTATCTACCAGAAAAGAACTAGCAAATACGACACAAGATGTTCGAATAGGTATATGCAGGATCAAGGTAAAGTTCTTCGTCAGAATTTGGATGTCGGTAACAATAAGCAAATTGGCAGTTTATGGCAGAAGGGAACTAGCAAATATGACACACGATGTTGGAATAGGCATCCACAAGACAAAGGTACAGTACCTATGATGAAATATTTATTGTTGGTACAGTAGTTATGATGTGAATTGAGAGGATGTCTTTCACTTCAGTAGCTGGTGCTTATATAACCATGTAACTAGAGTGATGGGGTAAGTGGCATCTGTGAGGTTTTATACAGTATTGGAGTACTGTACAGGAGTTGGGTGTGTTAGAAGAGGGGTTGATGGTATTTAAAGTGAAACATTATAACTGACTCAAATTATTGTATTTTAACGCTGGACAATAAAGGTCATAACAAAGTAAGAAAGAATAGACCTGAATGGCTAGTAGGCTGATAAATGGTGATATGAGTGCAGTATTGTAAGAATGCAACCATGTCCTCAGTATCATTGCAATTGACTAAAACTATCATGTAGAACTTTGTGTACAGTACAATACCTTATTTTCATCACTTAAGAGTGTGCTTATGACTTTAGTCTCCCTGTACATTATTATAAAGGGATAAGGCTTGAAAGGGTAAAAGCTTTTCCTTGATAAATTGTCTCTTAGAGTAGTGTTTTATTTATGCAGTACTGGAGGCCAACATCAAAGGAACAATTATATTTTTCAGTATCTTTGTCTCCACAGGTGGCACTGGGATGACAAATGCCTTTCCAGGAAATAGTGCTGGCAATATGTTTATTGGAAAAGCTAGCACACAGCAAGACACCAAAGAATTCCAAGACTTTGTGTAAGTGTACCAGTATATTTGCCTAGGATTATATACAATGTTACTGTCACCTAGTCTACTCTAAGACTATGGTGAATATTGTAAATAGCATAAGTGTGACTTACTGATTCACATTGAATTGAATTGAATTGAATTGAAACAGTTTATTTAGCGAGAAAAACACAGATACAGAGTGGATAATAATAACAATATTAACATGGCTGAGCCAGTTGAGAACCTGAGCTCTCTTTGAGGCACCTGATATATACTATACATTTATCTCAAGGAAGTATTATGTAACATTTAGTATCATCTGGAATAGTACAATAGCATGGTAGTAATAAGTACAGTGGTCCCTCGGTTAACGAGCACAATCCGTTCCAGCAGGTTGCTCGTTAACCGAAAAACTCGTTAACCGAAACCATTGTTTCAATGGGTTTTTGGGTAATTGGTTCCAGCTCACCGAAAATTGCCTAAATTCAACAAAAAAGGTAGAAAAGTACACTTACTTTGAGGTGTGTATGTAGAAGGCTCCTGGATGATGATGATGATGATGGGAATTAGAATGGGGGTGGAGGAGAAGGAAGAAGAGAAGGCATTGGGGTGGAAGAGAAGTCACCCCATGGTGCCATTTCACCCATAAAATTTTAGCTCTCTTGGTGTAATTCAAGATTATTTTCTTTAAATGAACACTGCACTGCATTATATATTGTCAATATGTAAAATATATTTCAAAGTGACCAATAATTTGCTTGGAAACACAGAAAAAAGCGTTTAGTTGAAGAGAGTCTCAAGCAAGATGTTACCTCCACTGAAAACAGAGAGAGACTAACGCCTGTCTGGTGTGTTAACAGGCTGGATGGCACGCCAGAAACTAGTTTCTTTACCTTCAATTATGTTCAATAATTGTTAAAATTACTAAAAAAGTTAATATTAAACTTTTAAAATTATTGAATAGTATAAACTTCTTGATATTTACTAAAATAGTAAGGAATTTAAGCCCTAAAACCGTTTACTGTATTGGCGGACTAATACTGCAGCTGATGGATCGCCAAATGCAAGTGAAAACATGTTGAAGTCGGCTCGTAAAAAACTCGTTAATCGAGGGATTGCTCATTAACCGAAGTTAGGAATCTAATGGAAGGTAAATTGTTAACTGAAATCTCGTTAACCGAGGCGCTCGTTAACCGAGGGACCACTGTACATCTCATAATGTTACCACGGTTATCACTTCAATATTTATTTATTTTATTATTTATTAGTTATTATTATTATTTTTTTATTATTATTATTATTTTGTTTATTTAATTATGCATACATATACATATATACACACACACATATATATATATATATATATATATATATATATATATATATATATATATATATATATATATATATATATATATATATATATATATATATATATATATATATATATATATATATATATATATATATATATATAAATAAATCAGGTATTAGGTAATGACCCTACTAATCTTTAAATAGCACCGCAACGGTCGGTAGTCAGGTCAGAGGGTAAGGTGACCCGACCTTCTCACCTGGTTACAAATCTTCTTAATTACAAAATTGTCCAGTTTGTACATGCCATTACTCAAATTCATGTTGAATGCTTGGTATGTTTAATGAGACTAGATTCTATGATGTTCCAACTATCAATTGAATAACAAAGTATTAATATTGAGGAGCATTATCCCAGTCAATGCAATGCTTATTTATCCTCAAATGAACAAACAGAGCATTGGACAGGACAGGAATCAATGCTCTGTTTGTTCATTTGAGGCTCAAACTTTAAATACCCTAGATCTTTATAGACAAATGCGAAACATTACTAAGAAAACTTTTTATAGAACTGATCCAAAGCCCACCCATGACCATAAGAATATCTTAATATTACCATTTCACAAAATTTCTCACACATTCCTCTACAACTAAAAACCTGGAATGTCAATGTGGCATTTAAAAACTCATGCACTGTTAAACAAATGTTAATCAAGAACTCCCCCAACAACACAATTGGTTGCATTTATAAAGTTCCTTGCAAGGAATGTCCTGTAATATGTTTTACTTAGGCCAGACAGGTAAAGATCTTGTAACTAGACTTAAACAACATAAATATAGTGTGAGGCATTTCTAACTGCTTGTGTTACTCTATTTCTGATACTTCGGTAAGCATCACCGAAAGTTATGGGTCTTTTTGCAAATTACCTTTGGGTTGTGTTTTTCCTTTAATATCTTAATTTCGCTTGTGATATAGGGTTTGGAAATGGATACAGTTTTCACTGACTTAGTCTTGAGCGGGAAGCATTTATCAAAGCAAACATTGAAGATGCAGGATACCCATGTATGGAAGTCATTTGATCTCTTCATGAGAAAGAGAGAGTTTATGTGTAGTGTGTCCTTGTTTGTTGTACAGTACCTGTACACTATTGCAAGAGCACTGTAATATTTTTATGTTGTATATCTTTGCTTCAGTTAATATAAACTTAGTCATACATTATTTATATTAAGCTTCTATGTAGATGAACGCAATGAAACATGAATTTAAATACTGTATATCATACATATTACAGGAAACAAGTGAGTGGGGAGATGAACATGTGGGAGCGTAGTGGCCAGTGGCTGTTCTCGTGCTTTTTTCCACTGAAAGGTTGTCACCCTCTCATGGGGTTTTCAGATCATTCACTTGAAGAACTCAGAGTAAGAGCATATGATGCTGTGAAGACAAATACTTCCAGTACTTACGTAAGTACAGTACTATATTCTATTTTAATTACATATCGTATCTCTGAATAAAGTGTAATATTTCACAAAAAGAATATATGCTGTATGAAGAATTACCGAGTGTTTCATTTGGTTGCAGAATCTCTTCGATCATAATTTGCCCTTTATTTGATATAGATAACATTCTACCAAGGTCTGTTGGAGCTTTCAACAGTATAGTCCTCATTTCTGGCGGTCAATTGAACCCGTGGAGGTCCATGTAAAGCAAGGAACGCGTAAATGAAATAACAGAACATATGGGATTAATTAGAGCAGAGACTAGGCCGACTCCCAAACTTCACTTTTTCCGACACAATCACACGTACCTTGTAGTAAAAAATAACATGTAATTTTATGATGGTATTGACACACACATAATATCTAAATAAAAAAAATACACTACTGTACAAATGTGAAGGTGTTTAACAATTACGTTAGTAGAAAAGAGATGGAAATTGACATACGGGGATGGCTGACTGGTTCAGGAGCAGATTAGTGGCCCTCTGGTGAATCATTATCTATTCAGAGGTTGCAGGGCCTCCTGACAAACCCCTCAAAGTCCATATACGTCACTGTCACTATCACTGACTTAAGCTGGCTGTGGTAGCGGCGGGCTCCCGTAATATTGCGTTGGCCGACTAGCATTGATGTTTATCGTGATACTGAACATGCGGCTCTATAGATTGCAACAGGGAGGTTACTGAAAGTAACTTCATAGCGGTGATTCACTGGAGTCGTTTGAAAAGGATAGACTTAGCTTTCTCGACATACTCGATGGCTTCCTTTACATCACTGAGTTAATCTTTGTTCTTCTTTTTCTGCTGCTTACCTGCAGCCTCACTTACGTCATCATCTTCCAGTAAGTCGTGTTGATCACCTCCAGATTGCCTGATTACCTCGAGGATGTAAATGCGTTGGTTGGTCTCGGAGAAGCCTGCAGCTGTAACACTCTGTGCAACCTCTCTTGCAAGGTCCAATACGCTGCAACAGGCTGAACCTTACCAGCCACGCTTGACTCTGCCTCCCACCTGGGATGCCTGCAACACATGCCACCACGCATGAAGAATCTGCTGCCACAGACAACAGCTGCCCCATGCCTCCACCCAAAAAGAAATCAACAGCTTTCTGGCGTTAAAATTTCATTCCCAAAACTGTTTTGGCAGCGCGCATTTCATGCTCCGCCAACTCTTCTTCTGGATCACCGTCTCACTCGCTCTCGGTGTCCTCCAGGTTCCATAATTCATCCTTGGTGTTAGGTCAAGTCACTGAGGCAGAGCTTCTTTAGCCTTGACATTACATATCAACTCTTGATCCATGGGCTGGATTAATGATGTAGTGTTGGAAGGAAGACCACTTTTGTTAGGGTGTGATGCAGCAATAGGGGCGAGTGTCTGGTGCGTTATCAGGAGCAGCAAAATGTTAAATGGAGACATTATGTTGCTTGCAGAATTGTAGCGTCAGGAACAGAAACAGTCGTCCAAACCAGGTGAGGACAGACCAGTGGTGGCATCACACGCCCTTCGTGCGGTTAGCCTGTGGACATTTAACTTGGTCATGTCCAGGTTTTTTGTAAGCGTCTGGCTTGCGGGCTGTGTGGATCTGAACAACGGAGTTTACAGGTGCTGGAGGCATTGGTGATGAACAGGACGGTGATCGCTCCTTCTCTGCAGCTTCCGGCCCCTACACTTGCTGTAGACTTAGCGAATGTCTTGAAGGTAATTTCTTCATAGAGACTGGATTCATCCATGTTGAACACACCTGGTTGTCGGTGTACTTTCCTTCCTCCATAATTTCTCGTAGAATGGAGGAGAAATCACTTTCGCTTCGCAGCATGGTCGGTACTAGCACCAACACCAACAATTTCAATGTTTGTTATTTTATTCACGTCTTTTAAGCCCTTGCAGCCATCCAGCCGGAAGCGGTAAGAGTGTTGGGCTCTGCTCCCATTTTTCGCGCCACTGCTTCGTGCAGTTCTGAACGCGAATCACTGCAGCGGTGTCCACCGCCATGTTCCTTCTAGCCTAATAGTCGGTAGCTCCTGTAAACCCTCAGTGCTGACGCATATTCTGACAATATTTAACCGTTAGCGAACCTGCAGACTTTGTGATGCTCATGTGTTCTTTGATCTTGGCGGCATCCTTCTTGATGGGCCGGATCGTAGATTCGTTCACGCCATGCTGGCGCACAAAATCAACTTGTCGTTCCTTCCCCAACTCCTGCATGATTTGTATTTTACTTCATAGCTTAAAAGCGTTATCTCTGCCTTTGGTATTTAGGTCCAGAGTAGTTCAGGTTTCGGGGTGGTGGGGGTCAGCAGGCCGCCATTGTTGAGCCGGATTAGCGGGCACAAGAGAACAGTATCTGTGGCGGAGACTGAGAACAATGAGACTAGGGCGCGAAAGCAGTCAGCGACTCACCCTCCGGCAGGGCAGAGACACGTCGTATTACATTAGACCAATCAAGCTAAGCGGAGGGGGGGAGAGTAGGATCGTGTCCCAATCACAGTCCGAAACGTCATATGACATCAGCGATAACGTAAGAGCAACATACTGCGCACTCTCCCTGCGCCGCTTCCTGCATATGGTCAAGAATGGACCGCGTAACTAATAATTGGCGCGTCTGGGCCTCCCGCGTGCCGCTTAAATGATGGAATGTACCGTGTAACTGATGATTGCCGTGTCTGGCTATGTGCCGCGTAAATGACGAAACGCGTAAAGTAAATCCGCGTAAATGGAGACTATACTGTATGTAATTTGAGAAAACAACAATGAAGTACAGAATTACCTGTACCACTAATTCCTGTATTTGTCAGCGTGTTCTGTCTTAAGGGTTCATATCAGGGTTCTAAAATTGGTATACTGTATTATCCTGTTAATGGAACCTGTGTGTATATGTTTTATAGAAGATATTTAAATTGTGTGGATTGGCCTAAAAAAAAAAACGTACACTACACATGTCTTTATACACACAGGTTTTAAAAAGAAATGTGGCAACTTTGAACCTCACATATGACCCCTTTGTAATATTGTAAAGTATTACCCCACAGCTGATATGCACCAGATAGGCAAAAGGTCTCACATCTCAAAAAGCTTCATAGTGAAATATACCCAAACCAGACTACCCTCAAATACATAAGCACTCATGATTCTGTCTCAGTCCCTCTCTTGCCCCAAATCATGTCTTGATTTTTTTTTTCCCCAAACAGCAAGCACACTGGAGTGAACTGCAACAGAGATACAAACAGCTGCGTGATGCTCTCAAGATGTCCACCCCAGAAGCTGTGCAGGCTATGGTTTGTGTTTATGTATATCCTGTGTACCCGGTACTGTCTTATGCATGTTCTAACAATGGAAATTCTGTATTGACTTTTCTTGATGCTAGTATATTTTATTGTTGGATGATTACCACATTAAGGAAAGGAGGTTATTATTATTGCAGCCACTCAAACTTACCATCATTCTCTAAGTACAATTTAACCTCTCAGCCTCAGAGCCTGAGAACACATCGTGCATGAAAACTTACTCTCAGCCTCGGAGGTTTTTGAAAAAATATCTTGGAAAAATATATTATTTTTAGGGCTCATTTCACTGCCATGGAATTGTTTTAATAATTGTAATGGGGGTCTCTTTTAGTGTATAATTATCTGAAAATTATATGAAACCATAAACAAATTTAAAATTATTGAAATTTAAGCCACATTTTTGAGTATAAGTTATAAAAGTGGGAAAATGTTTAGTAACATCTTGATTTCCATTCACATTTTCCTTGTACTGTATTATGGTGTTAATTGATATGTACTATACAGTATACCAAAATAAAGAACAAAGCTTGTAGAATATGGCAGCATAAGGAAAAATAATATAACAAAAACTCATGGAATATTATAAGGGTCGGCCGGCGCACCCGCCTCTCGCTCTAATAAGGCGACACTGGCTTCATGCTGCGCTGCCATGCCTGCGATGATGAAGACTATCTCGGGGAAGGTGATAAGGCCCACACAAAAGCGACGTCTGTCAAATGGCATCCAAAGTTCAGTCAGTTTCACTGAATAGTTTTGAGTTATTTGAAAATATAGACCATTGGACTCCACTTTGGCGTCGCGAGGCTGAGCGTAAAGTTTTTTTTGCCTTTTATGTTCGACGCCACAGTGGCGTCGTGTGAGGCTGAGAGGGCTAATACAAGTGCTGAAAATATGCAGCTCACTGACCCCCCCTGTTAGTAGATTTCAGGGATATACTGTACTGTACATTCATTTGTGATCATTATAGTCACCTTTACAGCAATGAATTAATTACAGTCAAGTGAAGTTTAGAAACATAGTTCTGTATAATACTCAATGAGGTGTGGGTCTACCTCATCACAGTGGACCACCATTTGTCTGCAGTTTTGTGAAGACCCGGCTGATACTTAGATGAAAAGAAAATAGTAGTTTCCAATTTTTCTGATTGGATGCTCCTCAGTTTGTTAGTCTAAAAAAATGCAAGATGCCAAAGGGATGCAATTTGGAGGGTTTCATGGGTCTTGGGTAGCTTAGTCGCATGGGGGATTTTGTCACCGGGATGGAGCTACCCAAATGATGACTGGGACGAAACTACCTGGTGATATACGTTTTAGTATTTCTTCCGTGCGATAAGACAACATTCTATTGTCTCCACTTCTTTCTCACATGATAAAAGTGTTTAAGTAACCATATATACAGTATACTGCATATACTGTATACAGGTTTGTATGTATATATATATATATATATATATATATATATATATATATATATATATATATATATATATATATATATATATATATATATATATATATATATATATATATTATATATATATATATATATATATATATATATATATATATATATACATGTATTTGGCGTAATCCAGGTATATGCTGATAACCAGAGAAGAAAACCAGGGGTTCCCACACTTTAGTGTGATTCAGTCTCCTTAGTCTGTGCTCCTGAGATGTGAATTACAGCAAAGGCATGATTGCATATATATATATATACATATGTATAATATATATATATATATATATATAATATATATATATATATATATATATATATATATATATATATATATATATATATATATATATATATATATATATATATATATATATATATTATATATATATATATATATATATATATATATATATATATATATATATATATATATATATATATATATATATATATATATATATATATATATATATATATATATATATATATATATATATATATATATATATATATACACAGTATTATAAATGTATACATGTTAATGCATTTACATATTTTGCCCTCTTATATTTTCATTCAGAGAGACATACACCAAGCCAAGAGTGCTGTGGAACAACAAGAGCAGCAACAAGCATTAAAGCCATCCAGTTTGTTTTCCAAGCCACCAGGACAAACTCTATTTGGAGGAGCAACCCCTCAGTCAGGCAGTGGTGTCGGTCTCTTGGGAGCAAAGCCACCGCCCCTAGGCTATGCCCCATCAGTATTTGGAGGAAATTCGTCCTCATCTACATCTTTATTTAGTGGAGGAGGTAATACGCCTGTCTTTGGAGTGCAGTCATCACTAGGAGCACAAAACACTACTGGTTTTGGAAATCAAAGCTCAAATATTTTTGGAGGAGCCAGCAGTAATGTGTTCAAGAGTGGAACTCAAAATGCAACAAATACCAATTTGTTTGGTGCTTTACAAGGACAAACAAATTCAAGCACATTATTTGGAGGTAGTACTAGTACTTCTACAACTGGCCAAACTCCAGGTAATGTTTTTGGAAGTGTACAGAATCAGGCTGGTGTAAATATTGTCTATAACAGTAATGCTCAGAATCAACCCTCATTGTTTGGTGGAACAGGAACAAGTGTTCCAGGTAGTGGGTTCCAAGCAACACAGGCAACAAACTCAACTGGGGTGTCAAACACAGTTGGAGGGCAAGGTGGTATTTTTGGTAACCAGCAGCAGCCGCAGCAGCAGGGATTATTTGGAGCTCAGCCAACACAACAGCAAGCATCTGTGTTTTGTAAACCAAATGTTTTTGGAGTTAACCAACCCAGTGCTTCAGTACAAAACACATCACATATCTTTGGTGGTTCTTCTGGTAGCTCTATATTTGGTACTAATGCAATTAAAGGCTCACCAAACATATTTGGTGGAAATGCACCAGCTGGTGGAGGGAATGGTCTATTTGGTAATGTTCAGGCAGCTGGGCCTTTCAGCAACCCTTCTGGTGTATTTGGAAATACTAATGAACTGAGTACTAATACAAGATTATTTGGTAAACCATCTGAAGTTACACAACCCACTGTGGTCCAGGGAACTCCTGGACTGTTTGGACATCCTGCTACTGGAGCTTCAAGTTCAGTGAGTTCCCCTGCGGTTGTACAAGGTAATTCATTAGAGTTGTACACACCTTTGGACCAGTTGAAACCTGAGGACAGGATACAGTTTGAAGCAGAGGCATTTACTTCAATCCCCTATTGCCCTCCACCAAAGGAATTATGTGCATGAGTTTTTTGGTTTATGCAAAATATTGATCTATATGAAATAGGTCTTCCAGCCAGGTCTGTCTGTATTGTCCCATAAGGCAGAACATTGGACACGTACCCATAAGCGTGTTGTATATGTACAGTATGTGCTTCTTCTCTTGTTGGACATTGAAGCAGCTTTAAGTGCTGGGTTTTGGATATGTACCTGTAGTTTTCTTTACTTATTTTTTTAACACAAAACATGTAATTAACTTTTAAATCATTCAGTTTCAATAGATAAGCTACCTTCATGATTTAGCCATTCTTGGTAACAATATGTATTTATTCTAAATATACTGTACAGTATTGTATTGCTTGTAAATACTGCATATAAACCAGAGTACAGTATACATTATTTTTACCCCTATGCCTCCTGGGCCAGATTCTGCCTAACAAAATGATAAACTTTTAGAAGCCATACACTGTACAGGGTGTTCTGTATAAATGGAATCAAACAGGGTAGGCTTAGGATAAGATAAGGAAATAAGATAAATCATTTATTTATACTGTACAGGGTCTTAGGGTTAAGCTTAGCTAGGGTTAGGAATTCAGAGAATTTTCAAAACTGATAATAAACATTCTCTGATACTAACCCTACTATGCTTGCTTCCATTTACACAGAATACACTGTACTTTATGAATTCCCAGGATCCATAGATGTGCCTTTCAAAGTAATTTCCATAGTTATTCCCTCTAATTTTTGTAATCTCTTGGTCTATTGGCAGCTAAAGGTTTATCTGTGGTTAGCGAGAACCTGGTTTTAGAATTTCAGTAAAACTTGTAATGTTCTTTGACGCAAACTGCAATTGTTTTTTAACTTACTCATGAACTGACGTGTGTCGTGTTAGCCAGAGGATACTGTACTATGGTTCACAGATTTCCAACAAAGTTATTGGATATATTTTGCTCATTTTTTATGTGAATTGGAGGTTCATGTGCAGTACACAGTTAAAAAAAAAATTCCCAGTTGTGACTAGGTTGGAAACATAAAGGCATGAAATTGTTTATTTAAAGACTAATATACATACTGTAGACAAAGCTTTCATAAAAGACTTTATTAAGATATCTGCTGTGATCTGATATACAGTGCACATAACAGTACAGTACTACTATGTTTTCATTATAATTTAACTGCAAATAAACCCTCAAACAAAAACTAATGATGAATCTGAGGCAGTACAGTACTGTAGTGCATAGTCCAAACCCAATGTTCAGTTACTATGTGATTACTGTATTGACCATTGAGACTCTGAGAGTCATTAGTTAGTCAGACAAACCATTACTGCTTACTGACCATTGTTTACTGAACAAAGAAAAATCATGAAAAACTTAAAACTTATCCAATGATAAACACACTTTGCACCTGATGGATAATTTTTGCAAGTGGTGAAACATTCCACAGGTCAGATCTCACCAAGATTAGAAAACCCGAAGTATTTCACCTGATGATTAAACCTTAATGCTAACGTAACATAACCAAACTTAATGTACAGTAATGTAACCTTGTCTCCCCCATTTAACATTGGTTTAGATTAACTTTAATTGAAAATTACCCTGTTTTGATAGATGTCACTTCTTTGAGTGGTGAGTATGGATTTTACTTTATTTCACTTAACCTTACAGTATATGTTTATTGTTAGCTTTTAGGATCAATAGAACTGTACATTGTTTCTCTCATAAAAGCGTTGAATATGTGATACCACAATTTATATTTACGATGCATGGAAGGGAAGTACTGATTAATCGATATTGGTATCGGCAAGGAGAAAGTACTTATATAGTACAGTACTGGACTGTAGTTACTGTGTTGTACTGTATTTTGTCAATTTCCGTAATCAGTATTAGGTTTTGCCGATTACTGTAATGAGTATTGGTAAGTTAAGTATCAGCCGATACCGATACCTTTTGCTATCTGTTTTGGGATAATAATAATAATAATAATAATAATATGTACTGTACCTAACTAATGTTAACCAAACTTTTATTTCCTGGGTAATTTATTAATAACAAAGCCCGGAGTAGACTTGAGGGTAGACTGTCACATTTTTAATATTACATTTGTTTCTGATTATTTGTGAGAGGATTTTTCCCATTATTATTTATCTGTATGTGTTTTGTGTGTGTGTGTGAAGACACACACACACAAAACACTAATTCTTCTAATACTATAATACTGTAGTTGGTGCAGAGAGTCACATTAAGTGAAAAATCCTGTTTTGTGAGAAAAATTTCTGGGTCCATCAAAAGTACTGTACACCCTCACAACACTGTATATAAAATTACATACACAAATAAAGTACCCCTGTACTGTAGATGTATGAAGAGACATCAAATTCACAGTGTATATGAGACTGCCAGAAGAGGAATTGAGAAACCAGTTATTGCTCTCCTCACAGCAGAGATGACTAATCAATGCTCTGTGATGCTGACAAGAGTGGAGCACTCATAGGTGTCACTGTACACATCACATGGGAAGTAACACAAATTTATGTTAGTTAACAGGATGCTGGACTCAATCTGTGTTGTTATCAGGATGATGCTGTTCCTTTTAACTGAAAACCAGTTCATGAGAAACCCATTAACTAAAGAGTTTACTCTGCAGTGAATATCGACTCTGTTTTATGTTTATCCATAGACAGTATACTGTACAGCAGTTACCTAGTCAAAGCAATTGCTATCATACAGACCTCAGAAATACAAGGACAATTATAAATGTTTTTATACTTTTAACAAGATGCAAACACAGTACAAAATATGATGGATTATTAACCCATAACTGGTGGCTAAGGGGTGTAGGAACACATTTCCACAACTGTACAAAAGTAGTTTGCAAACTTATGTAATTAAACCACAGGAAATCACTTTAACTTGTATAGTATAGTCTTTATATACAGGCATGACAATTAATCTCTCCACATGTTATTCTTAGAATTGTGAAAGACTGACTTAATATTTAGGTGGTGGTTGTGTATGAAAGTTTACCTGAAACAGCTCTCACTTGGGATCATATGAGGATTTGTGTCTTGTAAAGTGTTTGTTGCTGAGACTTATCGTGCCTGTTGTCAGTTGACTCATGGTATCTTTATCACATTTAGCCTGAATATATCTTCATTCAGCTGTTATTGTATATACACAGTGAAATTATTGGTGTATGGTCAAGTCTGCTAATGTAGAGTACAAAGTGAGTCTCAGCTTCTGCAATAACCTTAAACCTTGTATGTTGACTGTTGATGATATACAGTACAGTATACAGTAGTAGGTACACTCGCTCCAGAAAGTATATGCAAGGTGGGGTGTGATGGATTTCAAAATGAACACTGTGACTCCTGCTGTCTCGGTAAGGTTGTCAAAATCCTTCGTCCATTGTGTCATATTGTTTAGCAAAAACTTTTGCAGGTGCTTTTTATAGCGAGTGTACATATTTACAGTATCCTAAAATTCTAGCTAGTTCAGGCTATGGTTCTGATAGTCGTATCTGATTAGATTAGGGGTTCATATGTTCTATGTACAGTATTTTTTTTATTTTTAAGATAGATATTAATAAAGTACAAGTATGTATAAAAATGTTTTATTAAATATTTTGTATAAAATCGAACTTTTGAAATAACTTGTGTATCCTAAAACCCTGGTGGTTCTTCAACTGATTGTTGTAGTGAAACTGTAACCTTGGGTTTCATCAGTAGAGGTGTTCGAAATAAAAGAAACAATAAATAACATACAGTGTATATAGTACTATAGTCTCCCCTCGACTTACAACATATTCGACTTGAGGCAACCCGGATATACGACGGCCGTGGTCGTATAAAATATTTTTCACATTACGTATTTTCGAGTCCCGACATTAGTGATCGCGCTGTGTACTGACAAAATTTTTGTTTGTAATTCCCTTTAAAATGGCTGGCAAGCGTAAAAGTGAGAGTTCTCGTGGTGCTGAGAAGAAAAAGAGACACCCATTTTAGAATTTCTATATTATTTTCGCCTTTTCGACTTACGACCAATTCGACTTACGACCTGGTTGTCGGGACGGAACCCCGTCGTAAGTCGAGGAGAAACTGTACTATACTATACTACACTACTGTATACAAGGTCCCACACAAAAAAAAACGAGACTGATGCTGTAACTCTTTATTTACCAAATTAAGAAAATCAACTGTGATCGCCTTCAAAGTAGTTCCCTTCTGAGTTGACAAACAGCTGCATACGATGCTGCCACAGTTCAAAGCAATTCCGCAGATCATGTTCTGTGAGGCTGTTGAGGAGCTCCATCGTTTTTGCTTTCACCTCATCTACCGACAAAATTGGTTCCTTTGACCACGGACTTGATCTTTGGAAGAAGGTAGAAGTCGCAGGGAGCCAGGTCTGGCGAATTGGGTGGGTGCTCAAGCACAGTTATGTTTTTATTGGCTAAAAATGGCCTCACAGACAAAGCATTGTAGCATTGTTCATCTGACAGCATTTTTGGAACCATTTTTGCACAAACCTTTGTCATGTTCAATTCTTCCGTTAGAATGTGTCGAACACTTTCCATGTCTAAATTAACTTTCTCAGCTATTTCTCGAACACCCAACCTATGGTTTCTCCTCATCACATCTCGCACTTGTTCCATGTTGTCATCGGTAACTGCTGTGTGTGGATGGCCTGGGCGGTCATCATCTTTCACGGTTTCTTTGCCTTCCGAGAAAGTTTGTGCCATTCAAAAACGCGTGCACGAGACATGCAATCTTCACCGTAAGCCTCAGTCAATAATTGAAAAGTTTCCTTCGCGGATTTCATAAGTTTAACGAGAAACTTGATGTTAACTCGTTGCTCAGTTTTGCAGTTCAACATTTTCTGACCGAGCGTAAGAATACATCTATACTTCAACACTCGTTCACTTGTACTGAGTGAAGCGATCGAGTTGAGCCTTGTTACACTGACAGGTTAGAACATGTTCAATAACCGTCTGTTTGTCCCTTTCCTCCCACTCCTGGTTCCCGAGTTATAGGGTCTCGCTATTTTTGTGTCGGACCTCGTATACACCCCCCCCCGTCTCTCTCTCAACACAGGGGAAGAAGGTATAGAGATATTTATTAAACATCCTGGTATTGTCAAGTGTACATGAAGGTACTCTACTCCTTTGTAGGATGGAATCACGGGGATATGAGCACCACCCCCAGGAAATTGGTGAAAATTAGGAGCCATGAAATGCATGTGAGGGGCTTATTATCAAAAGATACAAATGGCAAGTGGATAAAACAAATTAACACTGATTTTTTTTACTGGTCCACGATTGATTGTAAATAAAAATGTTTCAAAATGTAGGGGGGGGGGTGCAGATCTATTCAAGGATAAAATACCGGTCCTTGGATCTAATTACCGGAGTATCTCCCAGTATCTAACAATGGTCTATAAACTATACAGTATAAACAAAATCCTGTATATTTGGGTATCAGTTTGGGTTTGGTCAAATGTCTTATCTTACAACGAGATTTTTTTACAACATATAATTACGACCAATATAACAAAGATTGGGTAGTGGTTTGATAGGCACAGTAATGTGATTTTATAAAACTGTGAAATGAGTAAACAAATACAGTAGAAATAGTGGAAGCCAGTATAATAACTAAAATTCAAAAGAAATAGCATTAATAGAAAAATATTTTGAAATGCTGATGTTTACTGATAACACACATGTGACAAAGCTCTCACATTGGGAGGAAAACAGACAATTGGATACAGGAAATGTTATCTAGGGAGGGTATGGACGTACTGCACTGTAACTGTGAACATATCAAGATTTAGGAAAGCTCTGAAAACAGATGGTTTTGGGATAGAAAGAACATAATGGTTGAAAAACTAAGGGAATGAGTAAATGCCTGGGAAGGTAACCAAGGCCATGTCTACTGTAAGGATTCCTGTGGCTTCATTACCGGAAGTCAATGGCGTCATTTTGTATTTTAGGTTGAGTGCTCAACGTATATCTTCCACAAAAAGCTTAGTCTTAATTTTGGAGAGCAATGTATTTTTTTGTTTTGTTTTGCAGAATAGGAAGGAATACGCCCTTTTTAATGTAGTAAACAATAATAAACTGGAAATCCCGTTAATATCCGATCAATCATATATCTATTATGCACTTTAATGCAGATTTCATTGATCTGTTATGTAATTATGCAAGAATGAATATAAATTATATCAAACAATACTGAAAACCCATTACTTGGAGTAATAAAAGTTGGCACCAGCTGGAACTTGTTTGGGTCTCATCAAACACCCTTCTCACCTACCATCACTCTTCATCAAAGATACATTTACTGAAAACTGTAAAGCTTTCTAGTTAATATAAAAAATACGTTATTTTAAGGTAATAAATCACAAATATACATAAATGCAATTATAATCAAGTGAAATGTAATAGTTAGTCTATAATTGAGTCCTACATTCTTTATGATATGTGAGAAAATGGGTAGACCACATTTTCATATCTAATGTACATATTGTCTGTACAATAACGTCTTCCCTCCAAATTATCTCGTTACTGGTAATTTTTCCAAAAAATTGGAAACCAGAGGTTATTTCTTCACTTAAAACTGCTATATATATTTTTTGTAAAGAATGTAAGGAATTACGCTTTTACCGACGCCATGAGACCCGCTTCGGCGTTACTAGCTATTAGATAAGATCGACATGTTTCATCTTTTTGAAGTGTAATTAGATTTTATATTTAGTAACATTTTTTGGTATGAAAATTATAACATATTTGAATTTAGTTTTTAAAGAATACTTTTATGCTTTAATACATAAATACACATATTATAATAGCTGACTCGCAGATTTACGAGACAAGTATTCACCTGTACTGGTATCCCCAGCCTCCCTTGTTTTATAATCTTTGTGTGGGTTTAGGTTATATTATAGCTTTATTTGAGGATAATAATTAAATGTTACATAAGGAGTAAAATTTATACTTAAAGCGAGTTTAGAAAGACCAAGAAAGCAAATTATAGGGTTATTTGTGTTTTCAGCTCGTTTATTTGTAGATCATCATCTCACTCGTATATCTTACTTTCAATTTATGCATTTTAGTACAAATGTTAAATATTTTATCGATTGCTCTAATATAATGACATTAATTTAATTAACGACATACATATACATGAGGACTTAGTAAGCAGAAATCTTGAAACCATTGAAAAGTCTCTCTCTCTTCTGAGAGGGCGGAGAAAATGTCTACTTTTTCAGGAGAATCGCAAAAGTAGTTCTTCAATAGTATATAATATTATAATAAAAAATACACAAACCCCAAATTTATGTCACAATACAAAATAATATAAAGAAATTTTATAATTTATATTAAAACCGAATTTAGTGAAGATTGTGGATATATACAATAAGGCGTGCAGGTCTGGCGGGCGTCCTGGTAAACGACGGCAGCCCCCCCTCAAGGGTACCATTTGAAACCATCGCACCTCAGCTTGACACGTTGTTTGGCGGGCGACACCGGCTGTGAGAACAACCCTCAACTCCTGCTGTATAACCTTTAGGTAATTACTCCCTTTAAGCCACCGTTAGTTAACATTAATATCCTGAAACTGAGTGTATGTGGAATGCTGTAGTAGGTATTGGAGACTGATTAGGCCTCAAATAAAATTTTCTGAAAGTCTGACGAATGGCGGTCATGACAGATAACCGTTGGTGACGGAAAATTCTTGTAGTTTAATCAATCTGCAGTTTAGGTTGATCGGGAACGATTGCTAGCAGCAGGGGCTAGTGTTATCGATTAAAGGAATAATGTGTAGTGGTAAAAGTGTTAAGAACACGTGGTGGGGATAGGACTAACCAGAAGCGGGAAAAGGTGGTAGGCCTATGGCAACCCGCCTCACTCCTTGCCACATTTTACTCTCCTAAGAATAAAATTGTTGCTAGAGTTGGATTATTACATGTTATATCCCCATTTTTTACGTGGATGAGAGCGAGGGGTTAGTGAATAGGTGTAGATTAGAAAGTGGAGGGTGTGGGGTGGGTTGACCACATGTTGAGAGCGGGCGAGAGGCGCTGCTCCCACGCCTCTGTTAAGTGGCCTAATATCTCCAGCTGGTCGCTGGCTCTTGGGTGATGTTTTATATAATTAGTAGTTTTTAGTGTCTAATATGTATCTATAAGTCACTTAATGGTTAGTAGTGTACTTAGCTGCAAATTCTTAAATTTTTCATGAAAAGTTGCCCCAATCAACATTTGTCCAGCTTGTAAAAAAAATTGTGTAATTGATTCGTTTAATATACGTAGTGGATATTTTGCCGTGGCTGGCAAAGTTCCTACTGACGTTATTTTACCGTGAGTGTGTTCTGATTAGCAAAGTGCTTTCTGTTTAATATGACGAGGGGGGATCCGGCTATGAAGTAAGGTTAGGTAGATTTCTTTGGTTTGTGGAATAAATGAACAAAATCGAACAACTCATCCTGGTTAGGCATGTTTATAGCTTTACACAATGATCAACTATGGGTAATGGCAAAATGAATACCAAATGCTGCCAGTCATGGTCAAAAATAGTTCTTGCGTTATTTTCCGGTAATGGACGATTAGCCAATCAGAGCGCACTCACAGTAAAATAGCGTTAGTAGGAACTTATGCGATCACCGCAGAATATCCACTGCCTTTAATACAAGATTTGTGGTGAACGTCCAGTCACCTTGGTCCTAACAGTATTAGTCTGGTTTGTATAAACCAAAGCTATTATCTGCATTTACATTACATGTGTGTAAAACAAGGTAGCTGAATCTGATGACTTTGGGGTATTTCATTCGTTGCCACCCAAAGAATTTTGATAATTTTGTTTGCAATCAATAGTTTAGAAAATTCCAAGACACTATGATGATTCCTACACAAACTATACATGTTAGGACCCCTGGTTAGGATAGGTTGTTTGCGAGAGAAACAGCATAGAAGTAGTGTGAGAATTGTGTAAACTATTGATTGCAACTAAAAAAATTTCAAAATTCTTTGGGTGATTGAAATTTTACCGAATTTGGGTAAGTTTTTATTGGCCTAGTCACGAGCAACGTTTTTGATGTTCAGCGAGACTGGCAACTTGTCAAGGCACCGGGTATTTTAACAACATATAATTCATCATTACCAAACTAACCTAACCTAAATATAATGCTTAGGTGACGCTCATGACTTAGTAGGGTAGTTACTGCCATCAAAAATTTACTGTTCTGGTATATATATCTGCACCAGATCTAATTTTGTCAGTTTTAACCATCGTAAGCCCGTCATTTTTACCATAGTTTGTTGAGAAGAAATTATGGCTATCATGGCTAAAGGACTCGTTTCCAGATGGAGTTTAAGCTATACCGTAGCTTGTATTAGTTGGTAATCTTTTAAGTTTAGTTACTTCTTTATGTATGTACTAGTATTTTATCTAATTTTAAGTTTCATAATTTTTTAATAAAAAAAAAAACTTTACATGAATACAGCGTCTAATGACAAACAGTTAAGTGATGCCAGATGTACTGCTTTTACATCAATCACAGCTAAAGGAGAACTACAAGAGTTATCACTTACTGGGCCATAAGCACCACATGTGTAATATTTTCAAAGTGAAAGTAGTAAATAATTACCATATAATATTTTAGGGATTTATAAGAACCCCACCCCCCACACACACAAATAATGTGTGGGTATTTAGTCTGCTCCTATATTACAATAAAATCAATATGAAGTATTCCTGTAAAAAGTTGAATTATCCACTGGGCACTAGATATTCCTTAATGAGGCCATGAGGTATGAAGTCCCATAATTCAAATCCTCTTAACAAAAATCATCTGCATAAATCAGCCATGCTGAAGCAACAAATGTGCGAGTTGGCTTCACTCATTCCATTGTTTAATCAAATATTTTAAGTATTTCTTTATACATTCATTGTATACATAGATATTAAAAATTTGCAAAATGGGTTCTGCATTTCATCACTTCCCAGTTATGTTCCAAATACAGCTACTCTTCGACTTACGACCTACTCAACTTATGGCCGCCCCAGTTGTAAAAAAAAAATCCAAATTACGTATTTTCGAGTCCCGACGTTACTGATTGCGCTGTGTACTGACAAAATTTTCGTTTGTATTTCTCTTTAAAATGGCTGGCATGCTTAAAAGTGAGTTTTGTGGTGCTGAGAAGAAAGAGACACCCATTTTAGATTTTCTATGTATTATCTTCGCATTTTCGACTTACGACCTCGATTTGGGTCCCAAACCCAGTCGTAAGTCGATGAGCAGCTGTAATGATTTCAGGAAATATGGTAAAGGATGCTGTACAAGGTACAGTATTGTAGTAATTTATCACTTGAATAGCACATAATGTGGAATCCTGCACGATTCATTAAGGGGTGGATAATACTTCAAGGCAGTTATTCCGCCTAACCATCAACTTAGGGATATTATTGTATTGACGATAAATGCTTTTTTAACCCATGAAGATGTGAAGAATTACCATAAATTTATCTCAAAAGTGTAGGGATATTGAAAGTTAAAATGGATTGGGAAGTATCCTCTAAGGTAAGTCTTGGATTACCTCAGAGTTGCAACCTCTCCTTACTAGTTCTTCCCACCCTGTGGGTAGGTGTTACAAAGGGCATCCAGCCATCAACCATTGATTCAACATAACTACATTACTTAAGAGCAACCACATAACTAGAGCTGTGCCTTTCCCCCCTGGTGTCTGCTGCATTTTCTGGGCTGGCATGCCCAGCACGTTGGTTAGCGGTGGTGAGATAGGGAAACCTCCCATACTGGTTTTACCCCTCAACTGCCATCAGGTAATTGTGGCTAACCTACGCAAGCGTGGAAAATTGCCATAAATCGTTGAAAATGAAAAATACCCGGTAAGACTGCAGAAGAAAATATTTCCACATACAGTTTTAACCGCCATTAGTTACAAGTACATTGGAGATCTAGAAAAATCGGATTGAATTTTGTCGCCTCGGCATGTTTAGGTAAATAATGTAGTACTGTATGTAAAGGCCACTATTAAAGTACCTGTACTGTATGCATATCACATTTATTACTAACTTAACACTGTACGTGAATGGGAAGTACAGTATTAAGAATGGACATGCTACGGTAGTAAACTAGCTGAATTTGAATATTTTTATATAACCCTTATTTTTAATGTACAGTATCTTGTTAGTGGAACCAGTTTGGAACTGGTTTAAAAATATTTGGATTTACTGTAAGTCGTGGCTTCAACACCTTTGGCACTTCAGCAAGTTTGTGAAAAATAGCAGATTCAATTTTGTCTGTTTGTTGAAGAGTCCTTGGGTTTGTTTTTAGTTTAGGATTAAGGTTTAGAAGCTCTGCTCTACTGTACATATATTTATGGATTGGATCTTTTTCATTTTCTTAATTCATTGTACAGTATGCACAGTCGAGCAATAATTGTGCCTCCCCTCCCCCTAGTAGCTGGAGCCATAGCAAGTGAGAGCCTGACGATCAGACAAACCCTACTCTATCCCTCCTGTGTAAATGTTGCTAGGTAGTTTGGAACTATTGTGGCTGAGGATGTTGTGCATTGTCATTATCGGCCCTCGCTGGCTGTGGCTCTGGTACGGGGGGGTAGCAATTACTGCTTTTGACTGTACATCTGATAGAGGAGCAATTGGTGAGGGGGTGAGGTTCAAAAGGCACTGTTATAATGTCAGCTGGGCAACATTCTCTCCGCTTGAAAAATTACTCCAAACTATTGTTGGACTTGTACATCCATGTGGAGGACAGTTTTGTTTTGTCTTAAGGTTGACCTTGATGAGGATATGTCTGTGAATGAGCCTTATTTGTATAAATAAGTGTGGAGAGGTTTCTGTTTAATGGTAAACAACCTTTTGAACAATATAGAGTATTATACAGGGGAAGTAAAAAGAAAGATTTTTGTTGTTACAGTATTAGTTTATTTTTATCACCTTTTCATCATTCAGTTCATACCCATATTATGAGCTACATACTGTATGTGCAAATTCATTTCTTAAAGGAATGGCATAAACAAAGGCAACTTGCACTTTCTTCATCCTGTATTAAAATTTTCATAAGAGTACCGTACACTGATAGTGATGCTGCGATAACGTGAAATTGTTGAATTTGTTAAAATAATGAGCCTTTCGGTAAAAGGCTAGTTAGTCCCTACTAAATTTTTTGCATCTTTTATCATTTGAGTGATATTTATTATAATGAAAATTACTGAATTCATAAAATTTGTACATTTTTTTTTCTGGTGATTAGGTCAGTTACTAATTTATATACATTTCTAATACTTTCACACTTTGAAGTGCGACCCTCATCTCGTTTGCCCATTCAATGTGTCCCCCTTGTGATTTGTTTGTTTAACAATAAAGTTTTGAGATGCCAAACTATTTTTTGTTTAGCTTGTGTGCGACTTTTAGAAGATATATCTTTTATCTTTGTTATTATTAGTTTAACTTAGAAAAGTATCATAATCCTCTTTGCTGCTGTTGAGGCTGTAGTTCTTATGAGAAAATAACTTAGTTTGAAATTGTTGGCCCTCTATACAGTAGTTGCTTTTTTTATCTTTGGCATGACCAGTTTTGTTTGGGTTACATATGCTGTGTGCCGTTTACATAATTCATGGAACCTTTCCTGATGTAACTGTTCATGCTGGTATTAATTGGAGAACGTTAACTGTCTAGTATTAGTCTCTTGACAAGAGTGTGTTGGAAATTAAATAAATTCCTGCAGTTAGTTATCAGGTTTTATGCCTTATGGACAGATTAAATGCACAAAATCCCTTATTTTTGCTTATAAGTAGAAAATTACGGAGTGAAAATGAATATATATATATATATATATATATATATATATATATATATAAATGTTATACAGTTAAAGTTTAAGGGGTATTTATAAATGTACAAAATTGCTTAGCTTAGTACATTACAGAACATGATGAATTACTGTACGTATTTCAAAACTTGTCTCATGAGGTTGAATTATTGTTGACCAATGTTGTCTGCTATGATACCAATTCACTGAAATCTTTTTTGGATATCAAGTGTTGACAGTGAATAATCAACTAATTTGTGAACTTTGGTCATTCTAGTTTTGTGTGTAGGGAAGGGAGCTATCGTAGTGGTTTGTTTAGTTTTGTTTCTGAAGTTGACAGCTTGTGTGTGTCTGAGCTAGTTTAGCAGAAACTAGGCAAGCAGTAGTTTGACATTGAATCACTAGATTCAGTTTCCTGTGATTATCAAGCTCTTACCTTGAACTGTGTTAAGATTTAGAAAAAAAAATGCACTGGATCATATTGTACCTTCTATCTTTCCCGATTGGCTTTGAACATTCTTTTCATATCTAGGCCTATACCCCATTACTTTTACGTTTAAATTTTTTTATTTACACCCACCCAAAAATGCAAGTACTGTTTTGATCCCATTGGTGATGCTTTTTATATTTTCTACATTGAATTATTTGAAAATTGATTGATGTATTAGAAGGGTGAACTAGAGGTTTGTTTGAATAATTGGGATCATGTCATCCATAAATGATCAGGCAGAGCTGTCCATGAATTAGCATTTGTTTTAATTATATGTTCACTTTTAGAAATAACCGTAATATGTATGTCATGCTGTACTGTATTGGTAAATTCTTGAAATTAAGAAAATATGGGTCTTGGTACATCCTGTATTTAAGTTCCAATAATTATACACTTTGTAAGAATTGTGTTGGTTAATTTGTATAACATAAGAATTTCAACTAATCAAAATGTGACCCAACTTGTTCTAATAATAACTAACCTCTACTATATAGCTTAGAAAAGGTTAGGCACTGAATACCTTGATTGTATTTAATACTCATCAGCATCACTAATACCCTGAACCTTGTACATGTGTTTATATGAATTAGGCATTAGGTTTTGCCTATTTTAACACTGGTACAGGATATGTGTATACGCACATTCACACACGCACATTCACATTTAGTTTTAATGTTTTGTTGATGCAGCAAACTCCTATTTACTATAAAGCTTATACAAAATTAATTTTAAATAATTTTGCTTATTGTACAATCTAATAAAACTGACTACAAGTAAATGGTCCAGAAAACTAGCAAGACCTTTACGTTGTTAATGTTCCTAGTGGTCACAGTGCAACTTCTGGAAAGCCCTTCTAGTGCTTTTTTAGCTGCTTTTCTGGTTTAACAATATCTTAGGTACTTCTTTGCAGTTCCTTCAAACATCATGCCGCCCAAGAATTCAAAGCGGAATGTGGAGGGGGGTGAAGCCTCTTCTGGTGAGGAAGGGGGGGGAGCTTCTTCCCCAAAGCGTAAAAGGTTCATTTCAGCAGAAAAGGATAGAAAATATGAATCTGGTACGTCAGTCCTTCCCCTCCACAACTTAATAATAGTTTAAGTATACAGTAGTTGCAATGTAAAGGAAGTATCGAAAAAGCAGAAATAGATTATCTATTTTGAAAACTTTCACTGAAAACCAACCCTTCCCTTCATCACCACTCATGGTAAATCGGAGTTTGCATGAACAATACTGTAATTTCTCAGGATACATTATGGCTTCCTGTAGGTTTTCGTGTTCGTTGAATCAATTTCGTAGTGTTTGGGAATAATGCATGCTTGAATGTTCATTTACTTGCTAAGGGACTTTAGTGATAAGTTATGGCAGGTATAAAATGTGGTAAGTAGGTTAATACATGAAACATGCAAGTAATATGTAAGTAATACATATCACAAACATGTGAAACAATAAAATTCAAAGAAACATGGTACCTGGCAGGTATTTTAAGCTAGTTAAATGTGTTTTTGTACTGGACTATTAAGTACTGTATATGCAATATATACTACTGGAAGGGGACCTTGAGTTTACTTGTCTGAATAAGTAGGTTGTTGAGGTGTGGGGGGGCTGTAAAATTGTAATGGATGGTGAAAATGGGAGTAGGTTTTGATTTGGGGAAGAAAATTGTTGACTGTTGAAGGGAAATATAACTTGTACTGGAGTTGTTAAAGTGTAGTGTTATCGGTTACAGTTTCTTAAGAATGAATCTGTTGGGAAGTGTGTTTAGGAAGACTGAATTGTTGATGTATATTTTTTATATTTGTGGAGGGATCAAATACCCTGCCGTATTTGGACGTACAGTATTGGCTGTTGCTTTGAAGCATAAAGTGGAGTTTTCCAAAGTTGTACATAAACATGAAAAGCTTTCCTACATCTGTTAAGCTGTCTCCTTCCATCCAGCAAGGTACACATTTCATTCATATTTTTTAAATCCTTATGTTGACATCTTCAAATGTCCCGCCATGTTTACACGGACTGTCTTCTATTTTTATCAATATCTACCTTACTTTTCATCTTAATGGACTGAGAAACTAAAAGTTCAATATCAGCATTTGATGTTCCTAAGTCTCTCTATCTCTCTCTCTCCCCCCATACAGTACTGGAATGTTGTTATATATATATATATATATATATATATATATATATATATATATATATATATATATATATATATATATATATATATATATATATATATATATATATATATATATATATATATATATATATAAAGAATAATGGTAATTTTATGGAACAAGAGTCTAGGTTAGCCAAGAAACCTAAGGGAAAAAATCAAATAAAATTTATTTCTTACCTCAAGGATATCTCGATTTGGTGATTTACAATTCTCATAAGTTTGGTTTCACTAGTTGTAATAAGTACTGTAAATACACCACCTCTATCCTAAGATGCCATGTTTGTTCTTCAACTGTGTTGGAAAATTGCTTCCCAGCAACTTTTCCATACTTTCTACCTAACCTAAGTTAAAATAATGTACTAAAATCCTAGGATAGGTAGGTTTGGTTTGTTCTTAGTATCTACAATAAATCATATACAATAATGTAACACTCCGTCGTTGGAAGTGTTCGTGTGTTTGGAACGGTCTCTGGGAAGCATTCGTGTGTATCTGAGCCAAATAGGTGTTGCCGGGATCTAGCACATCAACGTATATTGGTGTTCTGGATGAAAAGAATTGCCAAATTGTAAAGCAAATTGCAAATCCCTCACTAATCTTGGGATATCCTTGAGGTAAGATATCAGTTATCTTCTATAGAAGATTTATTAAGTTGCTGGGTAACCTGCTCCCTGTACCAGAGTATTACCAAATGATTTATTGCATGGATCTATTTGTTCATTTGGGTATGTGTAAAGTATGTCTAAATCATAAATTGTATCTGATTCACATTTGGATGAAATTTTACTTAGACGTGTATAATAAAGAAAGGCAACAAAAAATTCTCATCGTCATGGGTGTAGGTCACAGCTGCAGTTATATTGTGTACTGTATCATGTTAGTCCTCTTGCACAACTATTTTTGTTAAACCCCCCCCCCCCCTTCCCCCTCGTATATTTTTATTTCTCAGCCAGTCTGTTTCTGATACCTATACCGAGACATTCTCACAGCTGTCTGTTGTGTACTGGTTTATATCTCCCATACATTAAGGGAGGTTAAACTGTGCCATATTTATATCACTTATTATTAACCCCTAAAACTTGTTCTATCAGAATTTTTATTAAACAAATGTATAATAGATTGAAGGATTACTTACCCTACATAGGGGTATTAATCTTGTGTTTAATATAAACGTTTGAAAATCATATTCAATGAAGGGAATACTTTTAAGAAAGTTATTGAAATATAAATGAAACATTCAAGTGATTTATTTCAACTAATGTATGTTAGAAACAAACAATATCATTTGAAGTGTTTTGGTTGCATCAAATATATATTTCATATCATATGATGGACTTCAAAGGCCCCTTAGTGTAAATACATCAACACACGACTTACCTCTTGTTGGGATGTGGAAATCAGTGACTGGACTCCTCCATCAATGCCCAACGATTTGTAACTTTGACTTGTAGAACAAGCACAGCTCAGAATAATATTTGCCAAAGGTTGTTGTGGCATTCGTACATTTACACGTGGGTGACCTTGCCCTATAAGTAATTATGTAAGTTGATGAGTTTTTGGGTCATAAACCCAATCCTTTTGGGAACTGTGGTATACACATTTCTTTTGGGTGCCAGGTCTGTTAGCTTAAGGTCATGAGCATATGTTCTATAGCAAAATCAGGACCGATCAATGGTATCAGTCTTGTGCACATAAGTAACAAACCTATTTTGGGATCAGAGGTTAGTTTAATATCTTGAGAAAATAATTCTGTGGCTAGTCTTGGGGTACTAAAGTCAGTAAAGCATTTTGAATCTGTCCTAGGAGTTTGTGGTGGTTTTGGGGATTGATAGTAGCTAAGTTGGGTGCTCTTCACCTTTTACATTAGAAAATTGCCGCAGGGTTTCTAGTTTTCAGTATAACCTTTGTTATAAGACAATAGCTCCAAATATGAGGATGTCTTTCTAAATTTGTGCCAGTAAAAAAGATTAAGAGGATTAAGGGCTTGCAGTTTTGTTTGTTTACAGGTGGTTATTTGATCCCCCCTGAAATTACCATTACTGTACATTTTTGAAAGAGTGGAATGGAGATGATTCCTGAAATATCACCAAAAACATTTTGCTACACAAACAGTGGGTATACATAGGTGTAATTTGGCTAATAGTATGACCCGTAAGTGGTGGGTGTACATTAGGATAGTAAATCAGTGGATGCAGGTTCTGAGCATGTTAAAAGTTATTAGTCGAGTCGTACACTTAATTGCCTCGTCTCATTCTCTTAATGTTCTATTCTGATCTTTGTTCAGTGTCTTCTTTTTCAGCATATTTTCTTCTGACTATACGGGAAAAACTCTAAATTTGTATGGCTTAATGGCAAGTCTCGATAAGGTGTCGGAGTGACATTTCCCATGACGTAATGATGCCTTGTGTTATTGTAAGATATTCTGGGGGATGGTTGGTGGGAATATCATAAATACACTCCTTCTGACTACACAAACCATTTTTATCTTCACTTTCCAAATGCTGTGACCTGCAAATAGGTTGAACACCAAAAAATCTTCCATGTTCATGATCCTGCAAGATATTGTAATAGACGTGTGTAGTGATCAAGTCTTCCTGGTGACTTTACGCTGCCCATTTTGAAAGACTTAACTGTTGTCTCCTGATGATCCATGATTATCCATACTATGTCATTTGTTTCAAGCTAATGTTAATATTCACCAAATCCATGCTCATTATCTTCTGACTTGTATACATTCGTTGATTTACGAGTACTGTACAATAATCTGCCTTGCTGTCTATCGAGTAGAAATAAATAACAGTAATGTTAGACGGCTCGGGAATAAAAAAAACGTTTGGGGGCTGTTTATGTACAATATAGTGTATTTTTCTCCTTTGGCAGTCTGCATATAATCCAACCAGGAAATGCCTGATAAGAGAAATGCTGCATTAAACACTCATTGCAATGAATGTTTTGCTTAGGACAGCTTAGTGTGATGTAGTTTACATTTTGTAACGGTGAAATTAGAATTTTTCCACTAGCGTATACTGGACTCTAAAACCTGCTGACCCATCAGTTGACTTCTAAACTGGGATCAGAAATCTTAACATTTTTAGTGTGGGTGCTTATCAGACATAACTAATACCTACAGGCAGAGATTCTTGGCCTTTGAGCAGTCTCTGTTCACCTGCAATCTTTCTTACTCCCTTTTTCCTACCACAAAAATAAGAAAAAAAAAATTACATTAAGAGTTCACAGTAAAGTAATGGGTGTGTATAAGTCAGGTTATGAGCACTGGTCATTTCAAATGCATTTTTGTGATTTGGGAATGAGAGGCTCTTGGATTGCTACCATGACAAGGGTATACAATATTGACTATTGTTTAGTGAGTTATGTACGTTTATGAATAAAATTTATTTGCTGATTAATCCCCCTACCATATTGTAATGGGGGAGGTTACTTGGCTAGTGGGGTGCATATTTTGATCTTATCTCATAAGGCTTTGTCTACACATCATAATGCAGTGCTACAGCTCATATTTATTACATCTTGAAAAAATGTGGCTGTGCATCTTGCATTTTATTCATAATAGTTGTTCATTATCCAGTTTTATCAAATTTGGAGGTGCTGCATATCATTGGACTAATAATCCACCACTTGTAGTTTCCCAGCAAAATATCAGAAATTTTACTTAATGCCTTGGGCTGATGGAGAGAATTGGCCATACAGTACTTGGGTTTGTCTAAATGAGTTGAAGGAAATATATTGTATTTGAAATTCTTTATAATCATAAACAACATTTTCCTGTATTTATTAGACTTCGTGATTATTAAGTTATTTAGCAGAAAATTGTTGGTAACAATTTTATTTATTTTATTATTTTTTTCCTTGGTTAGAGATTAACATTATGGATTTATTTAAGACTCAGCATTGGAGTTTTATTTTTAGACATTTGTGTGTTGAATGGTAGCAAGTAATATTTTTGTTTAATTTCAGAAGACTCAATGGAGGACACAAAAGACTCTAACGATTGGGGAGGTGAGAGTGAGCGAGATGGTGAGTTAATTATTAAGTCAGTGGATGAATCATTATCATCCTCTGAAATAACTCATCATTTACATTATTGCCATTAAGTGAACTGCAAGAAGAATGTTGACTGAAAATTTCTTCCACCAAAGATTTTATTTCAAAAGCAAATTGGCATTTACGTGAATTGTGGGCTTCTTGACAGTCTTTGTGGATTGGTAATGTGCATGTTATCAAATTATGGATTGCTGAAGATGTTGCATGTTGATAAGTTTAGTGTTGTGGTCTGGAAATGTATTGGGCCTAGACTTTACAGTACAGTACTCGAATGTTTACCCGTTATGAGGAACTCTCCTGGTTTTCTTGTAGTTGGAACACATCTTTACTTTGAATTCACTATTCTTTTTCTCCATGTAGCTCAGAATTTTAGTTTTCATAAGAGTACCCCTGCCACCAAATGCATTGGGGGAAAATGGATATTTCACAGGTTTTGGGGGTTCTGAGGATGGCTTTTGGCTTAAATAGTGTACATGCCTTGGGCATTGCATTTTAATTTACTTATAGGCAAAGCCTTTTGTGGGATTTGTCAGTGATAAATTATGAGAATCCTCTAATTTATGGTCTTAAGATTTTCTAGACTTGTGAAAATGGGAAACCTTATTTCAGTACATTTTTGTCCACTGACTTGTTGGTGGCATTTAACGGTTTTCACTCATGCCATGGAGCTCGCTGTGTTTTGCGTTATAGTTTGTTGTCTGTTTCTGGTGTTTAATGGTTTCCATCTGGTCATGCCATGGCACTCTAAACAAACACCGAGTGCCATGGCATGACTGAAAGAAAACTCTTAAATGCCACTGATGAGTCATGTGATAAATCGTGTGATTCCTCAACTCTTAGGATCATGTCAGTCTTACTGTTTGTTACATATATGAAAAATACAGTACAGTATGTATCGAGTTCCTAACGGATATAGTTTTTAGGGTATGGGAATTATAGAGTTCTCGAATAAAAAAAAATTTGCAAATTTCATGTTGGATGGTACATGAGGGAGGGGAAGACCAGTGAATGGGAGGCACTAAAAGTTGACTATTTTTGTATCCTAGCATGGATAAGGGGGGAGGGATATAATGTAACCCTTATCTGTCTTGTGATCATACGTTTGTGTGCTAACTATTGAAACAGTCACAAGGTGTTTAGAACTTCCCATGCTCATGTTTGTAATTGTTACATGTCTTATATTAATGAGATACCGGTTTACTCTTGCCTACGGTCAACACGTTTTTCAGGCGCTAATTATGTGTTGGTCAAAATTAAGATGGCATTGTTCAACAGCTCCCAGGCTCCTATCGTGAATATCAAGGTCACACGTGAGGTTCGGAGGTCAAAATTGGGTTATTCTCTGTCTGGGGAACATCCATCGATATTACAGATTTGTCTGGTTGTACTGTACTACTTAAATTATATCTTCAGGCCTATTACTTGTGCCTTTCACCCTACACCATTTTCATGTTACAACTAGCAGGTCTGTTTCAGAACTTTCTCAGCAGGTGACAGCAAATATACAGGTACTATTAAATTCATTACAATTCATTGGAAAATGTTCAACATTATGGAGGATCATGTTTTGTAGTATATAAAGTATATAGTTTTTCATTGTCATAATTCGTCTTAAATTGAAGAAAATTTTATCTATTCATCGCAGACCCAAGCAATATCAAGTAAGTACTGTAGTGCACCTGTTTCAAATATATTTTAGTCGATACATTTTTCATAAAAGTTTCTTGTACACTGAATCTGAAGTATAACCCATTGGATATACAGTATACTGTAATTGTGTAGAGTTGAAATTGTTTTTAATGCATCATTTTTTACTTAAATGACCTAATTGGGCTGTTCCTAATTTCTTGCCAGTAATTAAGAAACGTTCACTTACATTTGGTGGCTTTGCTTTTCATCACATATTCGACTGCATCCATTTGTTTGATCATCTTATTGGTTAGTACAGAGTAATTGCATATACAGAATTTTATTTACATGATCATGTCCATAATTGTGAACAAGTTTGTCATTAGTTTTTGCTTGAGTTGTTGGAGACGTGTTTCATCTAGTTTAATTTTTGTCTGCTTGGTTCCTCCCGAATGAAGGTACGGTAATTAATCATGGGGAATTCATGTACAGGTATTTTATATATTCTCATCATCACTTGATCTCTTTTTTGAAGGTGAAATTCCGTAGAAACGTTGTCATCTTGGTTAAGTTATTGCCTAACCTTTGTGGTTACGGTAGGTCATTTGTAGTATCGCATCAAACTTTTTTGCTTCTGTGTGAGAGAGTGGTGGAGATCGGGTAATTTACTGGTATAGTTGATAGGAAATATGAGTGTTAGTGATGAAAGATAAAATGTGTGCAAAGGGAGGGTTGATATTGGGGTAATTAGTGTAAATGGTTGAGAGAGAAGTATGCAAGTTCACCTGGGGATGATGGAGGATTGTCTGATGGTGTAGAACTGTAGATGTAATGAGTGAAATGGAAATAAAATTTTATTAATGTACGTACAGTACTACATTGTTGGACGAGATGCCATTGAGCAATTCTACAGTGAATCAACACATTATGGAAAGGACAAGATATCAAAAAGAAATGGTTCAGTTCTGGGTAGCTAGTGTATGGAGAATTCAACTTAATGAGAGCACAGACCTCACCTCTATTGCACCACTGAGAATCCCCTGACAGAGGACAGGTTTAAATTTGCCCTTGGAGGAGCACACATGTGAAGCCAATACTGTATCTTTCAGAAGGTGCAAGATTTCCATAACCAATGTAATTAGGTTTGGCTCACATCAGGGGTTTAAGTTTAGATATATGCACCATTGCTTCAAAAATGATTGGTCTGCACTGCATTTTGCATTGAAAGATCTTGCAATGGGAAGCTAACCTGGCAATCTGAAGGTAGTTTTAGATTACTTAAAATTGCTTGTTTTATCATGTGCCATGATGCGGGAGTTGGCTGTACATTGGTTGTCATGAGGCAAGGTTCTTGACTGCATGCACAAGCTGAGGCAAATCAATTCTTGAGGCAGCAGAAGGTGGGGTTGCACCTGAACCGCTAGAATGCAAGGTAGCGGTAAATTCTTGAAAAATGGGTGTGGCCTATATGTGATCTGAATAATTTTCATAACGGCTACATCCATAACTATAAAAAGTCTACAGTAAATAATTATATTTAACTTAATTCCGAGATAATACCCAAGAAATAAAAAACAGTTGTCATTGATATCCTGGCACCTCAAGATAATACACTTTTATGTAGAAAAAAAATAGAAACTTGTTACCCCTGTGGGGTTACTGGGAGAGTAGTTACCAAATACCCTGCTGAGAAATGCAGTACAGGTGGATAAGGTTCAAGAAGGGGAACTATCTGTGAATGTTGTCTTAAAGTTCAAGTGAGGTGTGTGCTTGCAAAATAGTAGTGTGAGTAATGAGATGACAGTTGCAAAACCATGAAGGAAGCAAGGGAGTGAAGGAATAAAGGGTGCTTTTGGAGAAGTAAAGACTGGGAGATTGTCAGGGTATATATAAAAAGCAGTTACTCTGAAACTAAAGAGGATACCTGTATATGGAAATGGCAGTTGGGGTGAAAGGGAAGGGTAGTGTAGAAGCAAGAGTGGGGAAACATGAAGTGTGACAAGCTGTAAATTTGTTCAAGTTAAGCATTGGAAGTGGGTAGTTAATTTATATTAAAATATTAAAGACGAGCGAAATAAATGATATAATGGAAGACACGTGCATGCAGTGTTCGTTGCAGTCACTCACCATTATGCTCATGGAAACCGTTTGTACGTGGTAAAAAAAAAATCCTAGTACAGTACGTATATATTTTTTTATGTTAGCCAATTTAAACATGCTGGTCTGTGAAAATGGTCATTCTTGTTTAATGTTGGGGGGGGGATTTGATGCTTCATTTTAGAGGGGTTTTCTAAGGCCTGACAACTCTTAAGAGCCCCAGATTTATTTATTTTCCACAGTTCATTTATAAAGTTAAAAAAAATAAAATCAAGATAATTGGTTTTCCTGCAACACGGTTATAACACTGGGAAGGGTATCTGAGGGATGGCAGTAGGTCCCCCGTTAACCCTTAAACAGTGGCTATCAGTGGAAGTGAGCTGTAGGACTCACGGGGGGAGGTCCTTAGCTGCCAGTTTAAAGGGAAAGGTGAGGAGAGGAAAAAATTGCATGTCTGCCAGGGAGAATGTGTGATGGTACAATAGTTATTGAGAGAATGGTAGCAGAGTGTGGTTCAGACAAGGAAGTGGGTGTGGATTAAGTTTTTTGAGAATTTGAGTAAAAAGTATCAGATGGGGTAAAATTTATTTGCTTGTGAATTTAGGGAAAAATAAACATGCTGGATGTGAAAGAAATTTGGGAATTCAAAAATATGGGGTAAATAAGAAGTGCTTGAAATGATGTCCATAGATTTTGCAATGAGATAGTAAGGCATAGCAAATGTCTGGATAAGAACTGATTCCTTGTAAAAGGAGGACTGAACTTAAGGTTTTGTTATGCAGCTGTAGTTATTTGGTAAAATATATTGAGAGATTGGGTAGTATGATAGGTGGCAGCAAGGGTGATTTTGGAGGGGGCGGGGGGAAGTCCGCTGATTTTCCTTGGTGACCCTTCTTGAGTGATTTAAAAGAATTTAATGTGTTAAGTTTAATTTGATTTGGATTTTTTATCTTGTGTATTATTTTTTGTGTGAAGGAAATCAGTGATGAAAATTTGAAGATAAAGGAGAAGGGTAAATAAATGTTAGTTTGACTGGAGGAAGAGTGTTTGGGGTAGCTAAGAGTGGATATATTGGCACATACAGTGAATCCTCTATATAACTTGACTAGTATATGAAGATAAAAGTCCATTGTCGGGTACGAACTGTATAGAGATGAAAGTCTGTTATATCAAGGGTACATTAGATTTGAAACCCCGCATGTAATGGAGGTTTCCCTGTAGAGGAATGAGAACTACAGACTAGCGGAAGGTAAGAAAGCTGTAAAAAACACCTTATGAAATATTTGGTGAGGAAACTATCAAATGGGACTAATGGGGATGTACTGTATGGGGGCAATTATGTTGACATTATTACATGGGTGTGAAGCATGGACTTTGGTTACAATAGTGAGGCACAAATTAGAAGCAACAAAATGACGTGCACGCGAGTAGTACAGGACAGTATGTGCGGTAAACGGCGTTTGGCGAGAATAGAAATGTTTCGAGTGGAAAGTAGACGAGCTTACTGTAATGATGGTTTGGGTTGGCTTGGGTAATCATGGGGGCCTAGTTAGGGCATCCTTGTTTTACAGACATACAAATGACTGACCTGTAGATTGACGAGATGGCCGACGTGCATTTAGATTTTTCCAGTTGCAATAGTTACGTAACTGCCGTTATTGTCATTCAATGGTGGGAGGCTGAGAAGATCAAATAAAGACATTTTCCCTTTGTTAAATCTTGCTCGTTTAATCTTGCTGGTATTGATGATGAGTACTACAGCAGAAAACATCTGTTGCAGTAGTAAGAATAAATGTTGGTCAGTGGATGCAGTTAAAATATACGTATGCAGTATTTGCTCATTTCATCATGAATTACGCAGGGAAGAGATTAAATGGTAAGGCTTGTCTATCTGGACTTGTTCTGTAGAATTGAGATTAAAAAAATAGCGACAAAAAGGTGGGGGTTTATTTACCAGGGGAAAATGCATTGTATTGGTTAATCAACTTGTAAACCTTAAAAGTGAAGGTCTTTATTATTGGGGCTGGACAAATGGAAATACTGTATTCTTATTGGTTCATTCAGTGTGGGACTGAATATTAGCTGTAATAGTGCTAAGCAAGTTCTTATCAAGGTCACCATAGCTGACAAATCATGTGCTGCTTAAGGAAAGCCTAGCAAAGTTTATGCCAAACCAAGCTGTAACATTTATTAAACTCTTTCAAATAAAAATATCCCCAACTTAGTCAATGTAACCTTTTGTCACAAAGAGTAATGTTTAGTTCATGCACAAATTCCCTACCTGTATCCCTCCACTACAGTACTGTTGAACGTTGATCTTGTGTCCTCTACAGTACGTACATGACAATACCAAAACAAGAAATGGCTGATCGTTTACCACTTATTCGTTGATCCTACTGATGACCGGATCATTTGCTTACCTCTTTCATAGCCTTAAAAACCAATTTCCTGTACTTGCTATAACTTCACGAGTGAGAAATTGAATGTGTAATGGCAGTAGAGGTTGTATGGTACAGTAGTTACTTGTAATTGGGTTTGGTTATGTGGTTGCTTGCAATTCTTATTTTCCTTGGTAAATGAATCGATAGTTGTCCAGGAGTAGAATGTCTGATTTCAATAGCCTGTGGTGTATAAGCCCTGGATATAGAAGTCTGGTTATATTACTGGCTGTATTGTGGGTTTAGTATAAAGGTCTAACACTATTTTTCTGTAGTTTTTTTCCTCAATCTACATGATCTGTGGATGTGAACTTTGTGCAAATTTTTTTTATCGAGGTTCTGTTTTGGGATGGTAGTTTTGCCTTTTGATTGACTCTGTTTAACATTCAAGTGGTGTTTGCATGTGGTACTTGAATTCTTGTGGCTGTGGAGGCGGTCTTGTGTTATTTGGTGGTGGTGGTGAGCAGTGATAGTGGTTCCATTCCGTGGCGCAGTTTGGTGCATCCTAAGATCGGGTAGCTCTTGGTGGCTGAGAAACCATTCCTCTGGGTGAATTTCAGTATAGCTGGTGGTTCTGCCCCCTTATGACTAAACCGATGTTGTTGTGGCAGGTGGATGGGACCGGTACTCAGAGGACTCGGGGAGCCGCGACCGCTACTCCAGCCGCTCCAGCAGCAAGCCTGGAGACTGGGATTGCCCAAGTTGCCAGTTCTCCAATTTTGCTTCTCGCACTGCATGTTTCAAATGCAGGACCCCTAAAGGTACGTTGCTTTTTTAACTACAGTATGAAGATAGTAAACAGTACAGGTATCTTTTATTTTAATTTCTTCTGATATAAAATGGTAGGCAGCTTTGTACATACTCTATATGTGTATTCTCTATTTACCATTAACATACAGTAAATTGTAGACAAGTTTCCAAACACGTAAATATTTTTTCAGACGGGGACTCTTTTGGATCTGGAGGACGTGTTGGTGGTGGAGGGATGCGTGACATGCGCCCTGGAGACTGGTCATGCCAGAAGTGCCAGTTCCATAACTTCTCATCACGTGGCATGTGCTACAAGTGCAACTCGCCCCGAGGTTTGTAGTGCCGGTGAAGTATTGGAAGCTGGGGGGTGGGGGGGCCTGCATTTTAATGTACTGCAGAAAATATAAGAATCAAAGTTGATTGTAGGAGGTGGTGGGTTTTAGTCTTGGATTTAGATGTAGAGCATTTTTAAATGGCTAGCATAAAATAATAATTAGTAATCTGTATTGGGAGGATATAAATGAGGTTTGGCTATCAAGTATGGGTGTATTGGTTAAATATTGGTATGCATTGGTACAAGTAGAGAAATTAACATCTACAGTAAAGTAGGGATCATAGTACTTAGTGTATCTCAAAATCAGTCCAACTGTTATTGTGAATAAGAATAAACATTGGTTTAGAACTTTAGTGTGTGAACTGTGTATAATAGTTAAAGAATGTGTTAATGGGTATCACATTGTGTGAAATGATTTACGGGTGGCATGCTTAGGAACTGATTTAGATAATTTGAAATTAAGAGTAAAGAGGGTGATATAGATCAGACGAAAATAGAGGTAGTGTTGATTTGTGAGAGGATTAGGCTACTTGGTTAATTAAAGTTTATGTTAGAGGCATAAGAACTGGTGATATGGAGGAGTGTGGAACGGCTGTGAAACTTAAGGAGTGGTGGGAAGGGTGACATGGTATGAATGTGTGAAAAGGATGGAGGCGAGGATGTGCTGGGATAATGCATCATGTGTTGGGTAGAGGGAGAAAAACAATACCTTGAGAGAACAGAGGGCGGGGGATAAAGGGGAATGGAGTAAACAATGTGGGTTTGTAGTAATAATGCCTTTGAGGCTTTTCTGTGGTGGCTGTTCCTCGGCAGTGAGCTCCATAGATAATAGTTTAGGCATGCATTGGTAAGATGGGGATTTATTTTGGGGTGAACAGCAGACAATCTAACAAGGGTCGTACAATGTGTTAGTAATTGACGAACAGTACCCTTAATATAATAAATATTTAAAGGTAAATTGGATGTACAGTAGTCCCTTGCCAACCAGGGAGGTAAGGTTCCTGAAAAGCTCAGTGGATGGCAAGACTAAAGGCTTATGGGAAATAATGGGTCAGGTTCCCTGGCTGCAGATAACACTTGTTCAAAGTCAAACTTAAGTCACCTGTTCCTTCATTAAACAATACCTGTAGATTGCATTTACGGTCATTACACGAGTCAAATATATGTAAAGTAGCTTGATATAAATTTAGTAGTAATATAAATTTTACAGTACATCTCTTAAGATGACATGTTGCCATAAAATAAGAAAAATTAAGAGCATGGGTGTGTGTGGACTTGGCAGGTCACCAAGTTAGACTGTCTCTGTAGCTCTTCCCCACCAGGCCAAGCTATATTATTGTTTTTACAACTCTTGCCTGCACACACAATTGTTCAAAAAAAAATTGTAAAAAACTAAGATAAACTACAATACAATAAACATGTCTTATGTCTATGGGAGTTTGCTCATGGTTGTGAAAGGGGAGAGCACACTTTTCTCCCATGTCCTAGGCCGCAGAGGGATAAAGAAGCCACGTTAATCTGTGGATACCGAAATTCAATGCCGTCGTGGTTGGTGAAATGGTGTACAGAGTAAAAACCGTGGATACCCGGAATCTGCGGTTAGTGAGGGTCTACTGTATGTAGAGTGAACCGTTTATGGACACATTAATTCAGATGGAAAGATTTGGTTGGAAATTTCTTGTCCAGTAGACAGGTACAGTACTACAGTGTTTGTGTTGAAATACGAGTATGTGTAATGTCCCAACACTACTGCAACCCAATTGAAAGTGGGTATTGAAATAAAAATTACATGGAAAATGCATTACAGCTCCTCCTCGACTTACGACGGGGTTTGGGACCCAAATCCAGGTCGTAAGTCGAAAATGCTTAATTAATACATAGAAAATCTAAAATGGTTCTCTTTTTCTAACCAGCACCACAAAACTCTCACCTTTAAGCTTGCTAGCCATTTTAAAGGGAATTACAAAAAAAAAATTTCTGTGTACTGGCGTTGGGACTCGAAAATAAGTAATTTGACAAAATTTTGGTGCGACTGAGGCAGGTCGTAAGTCGGGGAGGAGCTGTACTTACTATCTATATATAATTTACAGAATGCAATAGTAACCATCATAAGATCGCTTCCTTATCCCTTTAACCCCTGGGAAGTTTTGTCATGCAACAGTACCCTCGTTTTAATTTTCACAGTTGTCAGATAGATAAGGTACATGAAAAGGCAAGTCAACTAGCTAGGTTATTGTGACATGAAGCTCAGCAATTTTAGTTTGGTCAGTTTGTTTACTTAGGTTCTTGTTCGTTTCTGTTTTAATGCCAAAGTTTACCCAAGCTTGTCCCCATAGTTGCTGTACTTAGGTATCTAGTAGTTCACCCGAAAGATGGAAAGCATTTGGATATCACAACCAGTACAGTATGTGCACCACACTGAATATCTATTGGGTATGATAGTTCTGGGTATCCCTCTTGCATACAAATCACCATGTCATGTAACAGGACAATGAATGTGCCCTTGTCAAAAACCGCATTGAATAATAGTTTATTTACATGGAAATAGCCTAATATTGCAGTAGTTTATGAAGCAAATTGCATTTTAGGTAAACAAAAAATTTTGGGTTAGTCTTGTTGGTAGCCTTGCAACATTGGTGGGCCGTTTCCAATAATATGTTATCATTAATACTTCCAGTAGTGTTACATTGTGGCCAGATAAAGTTTTCTAGTAATGTTTTATCATGGGAATCAGGGGATTTGACTGTGGCAGACTTTTGCACCAAGAGCACTCATGCTCAACTACACAACACCACTGTGTTGTTTTAAGGTGCTGTTTTCATGGTTCTGAAAATTGGAAGGTTATCCTTGTGCTTACAAGAGCTTAAAAAAAATAGTGCAGCACTTTGTTAATATGTTCAAATTCTTCAACGTATATACACACGGGGACATGTTACATTGCGCGTGTCTATCCGTACTTTTCATTACAAGAAATAATTTTAGCGAGACTGCATAAGTTATTACTTTTCCCTTGATAATTGTAAGGAGAAAGTTTTAAGTTGACAAATGTTTTGTAGAACAATATAATTTCTAAGACATTTTATATGCTTCCCTAGATTAGCTGATACATATTGATTATTATGGCTTCTATAATTTTAGGCCCATGTGTTGAAGCATGGGCCTAATACTACTTTATGTTGATTAGTTACATGTTGTTTTGATCTTGTATACAGTACACGTTTTCTGACAGTTTCAGAACATGAACTGTGACTGCTATAATTACCAAGGGTAATAAGTTCTTATTACAATACAGGACCTTGGGCATCTCTGATACAAGTTTGAATGGGTGCACTGCAGCACAACATTTCACTACACTGAATATTTTTTGCTAAATGCAAATAAAGCATTCAATAAGGTGCATCCTATATGAAAGCCTCAATTTCTTAATAGTTAATTATTAATTTCGTTGTGTTGCAAACATATGTAGGATATCTCCTTGTTACTGTAGTAGATAATGGTATATATTAGCTAGATTCAGGAACAGTATAGAGGCAGCTTATATTGGTGTTACCAAGACTTCAAAGTAATATTTCTTTTGATAAATTTAAGTAAATTTTTGCTCTTGTTTGTTCCCAAGAAGTTATTGGTACAGGTATTCAATTATCTTCATGCTATGCTATTTCTCTTAAACAATTAAAACTTCTGTCATTTTCACTTTGGCTGATTTGCTTATACTGTATTTTAAACTCAAATGTTTCAACATGCTGCTCACTTTGAGAAATTTTCTGTCCTCGGAAAGGAATATTGTTTCCGTACTTTTCTTAGTTGTAAAAAATGTCCTCGGGTTCTGACGTGGACGTGCCTTAGTATTGTACAGTACCTTGTTTCTAGTTTTTAACATTGAACTACGGGACATTTCTATTGAAAATTGTCCGTAGTGAATGTAGTTCCTGAGATTTCTTTATTATTATTATTGTATGAATTGAAATAGTAATTTTGGTAAAAATTTAGGACTGTGATGGCTATAGAAAAGTAAAGTTTTGGTATGCCAGAAGTAGACACGGTGGACTGTGCTTGTGGATATTTACAAAGAGAATGAGAACATAAGGGAATGTACAGTTGGGTAAAGATACTGAGTGAAGAGGCCCCCCCGTTTTTGTTTTTATGTAATTTTTTGTATTGTAATATCTGTAAAGTAATCGGGATGTAGCTAGTAGATTTTGCTCTAGTTTACACTCCCATGGTAAAGGGTTTCACAGTAAGTTGATTTGCAGTACTCTTAGAGTAATTCATTATTCCAACATTTTAGAAAATAATGTTACAGGGGGTGGTGGCGGTGGTGACCGTTACTCTAGCCCTCGTGGTGGTGGTGGTGGTGGTGGCGGCAGGCCTGGGGAATGGGAATGCCCTGGTTGCCAGTTTTCCAACTTCTCGCACCGCGATTTCTGCTTCAAATGCAGGACCCCTAGAGGTATGTCTAGATGTGTTGCTAGAACTGTGTAAGTGAGCATGGAATATCTCGGGGAGCAGCTGGGTGTTACCTACCCAGTGCAGTGGCTGGAAACTTCGGTTGGCTTACTCTATATAAAGAATTTAAGGTATAACAGGATTGTGCTTCTCACAGCCTTATCTAAATGTTCTTATATTTATATATAAAAGCACACAGCTAATTTAGCATTTTTGAGCTGGTAGTTTGCTTAGGTGTTACCAGCAACTGTCAGGACAGGTGACTGTAGTCAGTCAGTTTATTATATGGGTTCAGAGACTTTTACTTTATTTAGGGCAGATATTCCATGCTTGGTATGAGGTGTTAAGGTCATCGTGTTAATTAAATTATTTTTACCTCTTAAATGTCTGATTAATTTCATAGCAAGAAGCTGTTCATTTTGAAAAACAAAAACAAATGGAGTGTTCAAGGGCGAACATGAGGTTGCAAATGATGAATAATAAAAGATGCTGAGGAAGCATTGACAATTCACCAAGAGAAGATTTTGAGAATCGATAATATGAGTGCCACTGGTATAATGAGCTTTGCATCAACATGTGAAGTACAGTACAGCAATTTCAGTTATAAAGAAAATAAAATTTTATAACAATGACAAGCCATGACACAAATCATTTTTATATGGAAAAGAATATATACAGTTTAAGAACCAATGAAAAGTTGGAATTTACAGTTATATTGAGGAACAGTACAGCATAATTATAAGGAACAGAACAGACCAAGTTTGTGTCTGGCACAATATTCAGGCACTCGTCAATAGTTATGAATGAATGCCTCACTAGTGTTGTATCATATGCCCATCTGGGATGTAGTACATGTGATGGTGTTATCCGTCCTTGTGTTAAGTTTTCTTATCTTTAACTCTAAGAACTAGGAAGCTCAACATCCCCCCACCAAACTTGGTAGATAAGAAAACAAGCAAGTGGAGGTGTGTAGGCGATCAAGCTATTTTATTTGGGCCAATTTTGTACTTTAGAAAATGACAAAAGCCTTTTATTCTTCTTTTCAATTTTCTGTATTCAAGTGTCCATCTCGGTGGGGATGTTTTATGTGATGACATTGTCCGCTAGTATATTTGAGTTTCCTTGTTTTCAACTAGGGAAAAAAAAAGATAAAAGCTTATCCCCACCAAACTTAGTAAGCAGAATCACCAGCATATGGTTATTTTAATTTCATTTTTGTGTTTTACAGAAGAGAAAAAAAAAAACCTTGTATACCTGTCCTCAATTATCTAAATTTAGTACTGTACAGATCCTTCAAAACTGGACATTTTCTCCGTGTTCGGATCAAATTTCTTCCCTTGATAAGTCAGTTTTGTATTCTTACACTAACCTAAACACAGTTGAATGTTTATTTGACTTGAATAATAATAAAAAAAAAAATATGGCATACATGCTTTAAATAGTGTGTGTAGTAGGCTAGTTAAATGGAACCCTTGATGATCTCCCTTCTGGCGAGTTGAAATGTACCACAGGGGGTTCAGAAATGAATGTGATTGAATAAATTGTTTATTAATTTATATTAATCGAATATTATTCTTTTCACATAGCTAGCTTTTGAAATTACAGTAATACCTGTATTGGTCAGACTGAACCAAAGATTCAAATGTAACTTAGCTACACCAGATGACAAATGTTGCAACTCAATTGGAAGCTCAAGAATGTAAAATCCATTTATCTCACTTTTAACCCTCTCATGGCTGAATGATTTCTCTTAAGCCAGTGATTCCCAACCTTTTTTGGCTGCGACCCTAAATTTTCCAACGATACGGTGTCGTGACCCTCGGGTATATGATATATTATGTAGCTTGAATGTTAAGCAAAAATTTTTTGGCTGATAAGTACTATATTTTTAAAATTGTCTGAGGGCCCCTAGCAACCCTACTGAGGACACCCTGTGACCTGATTTGGGTCGCAACCTGAGGTTGGGAACCACTGCTCTAAGCTGAATAAAGTCATTTGGCTGTAGCCAGATGAGCTACTAAATGGGTTAAGGAGCTCAACTTCTTAATAGACTAGTTATTTTATCACTTAATGTATGCAACAGTTTTTTCTTTATTTTATTATTCAAGAATTAAAATAAGGTTCAACCGAGTTGTGGAAGCAAAACTTGATGTGTACTGTTAGGCCGGATTTTAGGGTCTATACACCTGCAGGAATAATGTTCATTGAATGAAAGTGTGTGTGGTTAGGGCATTATGCTGTCACCATTCTTGTCAAAGTTATGGTCACTTAATTTATTAAAAAAAATTAAAAGCAGAAATTTTTGCATTGTTGGAAATTAATATGTTTATCAGCACCAAACTTTGTAAGTTTAGTAATAAGCAAGTGGATGTTTATCCTTTGGTTATATTATGCCACTAGTGGTAATTTGCCTAGAAATAAGTTCCAAATAAACTTTAATTTATAGGTTTGAAGAAAGGTACTACAGATGTTCCTGATTGATAACTATTTGTAATTAGAATTATTTTGTAACTTTGTCATAGTTTAGGGTTCTTCAGTGTTTGTGTAAAGGTTGGCAGGATTATTCATGGTCAGTATTCACAGACCTGCAGGCAGTTGTAGTAAGAAGGGGTTATTGTGTGTTAGATACCTGCCTTTAATCTTTTTCTTGGGTTTTAATGATAAATGGCCACCTAACCTCTCTTAGTATAGATTGCTTTACCCCTTCTCCATCTTGTAGCTTGTTAGTCATTGCTACTGAAAGAGATATTGTGGTGTTTGTTTCTGTATCTCCATTTTGGACCATTTGTCGATAAAACCACATACCGTACATCATATTTGTGGTAGTGTATGTACCTTTGTCCTGCGCTACAGTGTTGTCTAGGGTTGCATTTGTGGTGATATCATTTTCTACAAATTACATAACCGATTTTCTCGAATGGCGTGAATTATTTAAATGTAGGTTTTGTGCAAGATCAGCAGGTCGTTGAGGTGTAGATGATAAAGGGTATCTAGTATTTTTCACTTAGAGGGGGCTTATTATGCAACACGCACTCACTCGCATGCACACACACACACACACACACACCCATATACACTTGTCCACTCTCACTCCCACCCTTCCTTTAGATAGAGAGGGTATTAGAAAAAGATTAAACATCGCAATTTTTAACATTTTTGTGGGTCAAGTTTTGTTAAGACACCAGATATGTGAAGACAATGTAGCTAATTATTTGTATAGTTATATGCTGATTTTATTTGCAGAAGGTGGACGCTCTGGTGGCGGCGGTGGTGGTGGCGGTGGTGGTGGCGGCGGCGGTGGTGGTGGAGGAATGGATGGCGGTAGAGTTACTATGCGTGCTGGAGACTGGGAGTGCCAACAGTGCCAGTTCCATAACTTCGCTTCACGTGATCAGTGCTTCAAGTGCTCTTCCCCAAAATGTTTGTATTTTTGGATGATCATTGTTGCCAGTACTTCAACTCTGAAACTCAATAATTACAAGCATTTGCATATTTGTGATTTACCTCACTACATAATTTGTATTTAGTTTTAGCTGCAACTTCAAAATTTCTGATTTTACAAACTGCATAACTATACTGTATGTGAATTCCTTTGTTTCAGATACACCTCGTATATCATTATTCGTCATGGTATGCTTTAAATCATTTTTGGCCAGCCTGCATCATTACTTTCATAACCAAACCTATGAGTAGTTTTTTGTGTTGAACAACTGGTATATCGGGGGAAGATTTCTTAATTGTTTTTCGTTGAAGGTAGCATGATAAATACCCTAATTTTTATTATTCGCATTACAGGATGTGCGCTGTAGCCCACCTTCAAGAGAACACCCTGGACCAAGACGAAGAACTTGTTATGGAGGCAGCGGGAATACCACTCGGGATATTTATTTCAAGTGTTGAAGAATAATTATGGATTACTATAGAGTGCATTTTGTTTTGTACCTAGTATTGTAAAATTTGGAGAGAATTGTCATTTTTGGGATTGCTCAAGTGGTATCAAAGATCTCTATTGTTCAAGGTTCATAATGATGATTCTGATGTTTGGCCAAGTTTTTAGCCAGTCTCTACTCCTTTCATTATTATGAACACTGCTTGTGATGTATGATCAACTAGTGTTTTGTGCTTTAGTTTCAGTACATCGTATAAAAAATTGAGGAAATTTAGGTCGATATTCACTGCCAGATGCTTTACTGTCTTTCCCTTGTCTGTGTGGTACAAACCATTAAGGTAAGAGGGGTACAATAGGCGAGAGATTAACTGGGTGTTTTTTATTAAGTATTTCACATATTGTAGTTATTTTGCCATGAGCTTTTACTGGTGTACTTTTGAGTTCTTCTACAATAAGTGCCGCTTTTTTCATATTTCTTCATGTACTATATCTCTTCCACCTTCCTCCATCTCGTCTCTCACCTCCCTGTGTAAGAATTATTAACTATATAACTTCTTTAATTGTGAATGATGTACTGGGTATCATGAGCTGCATCTAGTGATTCATACCTCCTGTAAAGGACTTCAGCTGGAAGGAATGGTGTTTCAAGAACTCTCTTAATTGGGAATGTCAGATTGATATATTAATTTGGTGTCCAGTACAGTTAATGTTTTGAATGTTCCTTTTCTGCTAATATTTAGACAACTAGTTTCCCTCTGTTATGTGCTTCTGAGTATTTTGTGGGTTTAAAACAAGTGTGCTGGAAAGAAAAAAATTGATATCTTGCTAGAAGACTCTTCTTGATGCTGTACCTGATTTCCCAAGGAAGGCGTATAAAGGTTTATTTTAGTATAAGAATTTCCCATCAGTATGTGAGGCATGTGTTGTACGGTCACATTTGTGTTTTAAAGGATTATTTGGTGGCTACTTTTGTTTTTTTATATAATTTTTTCTGTACAAGGGCTGGTCAGTTGTGGTCGTGAATGCTATGTAGTAAATCATGATTGACAATTATCTTTTAAAAAAATTTTATAAGGAAAATGGTAGCAAGTTCTAGTTTTTTTGTAAGGGAGACGTATTGGTAGCTTTTGTATTGGGCCGAGACTAATGATTACAGGTGAAATAAATTACAAGCAAGCACTAGCGTGGTATCAAACCTTACATCTTTTTCATTATATATTTTTTTCTTAATTTTTTGTAACATTAATCAGTGCATATATCCAAAAGCCTTTTTAATGAACTAAAATGCTATACAGTATATATATATATATAAAAATGTATATGATGTATATGTATATAATGTGTATATGACATGTATATGTAAGTATATGTTATATATTTATATATATATATATATGTGTATGTATATATTTATATTCATTTCTTAGGGGCACAATTCCTCTAGATTGCTAGCACTATTGTAGTGATCTGAGAATTTTATTAGAGCTCTAAATAAACAACAGAGGTGGTAAAGTGAAGTCTGCATTCCCTTGGATGAAAGAAACTCTCAAAAGACAACATTCTGGTACTTTGATGTGGTCATTTTGTGTTGTAGGATTTTAACCTGTATAAGATTGTGCCTGCCTGCATTCCCCCAAATTTAATCGCATCTGTTTATAGAGCACTTGTGTACAACTGAAGTTAAGTTGCACTAGACAGTATTCAAAGTATATTAAAGGTTAAGAGCTTAAGGAAAACAACCTAATATCAGGGTGTTTATAAATGAAAAACATTGCTATTAGTAAAATTGGTTTTTGGACATAAGTGTTTGATTTACTCAAGAAAAACAAGTGTCATTTATTCTTGAGCACAAGTTAATGGCATATTTTTGTGTATTTTATCAATGGATGTCTTCAAGAACATTCAATGTATAGGTAAGGAACCTTTTCTCATCCACTTAAGCATGGTCAGTTTCACACCTGGGACACATACAGTAGTATGGTTCTACTAGTTTGTAACAGCTTAAGGTTTCCTCAAGCCAGATTTGTGAATTTTGACAGGTTATCTTCACTTCTCTCAGAGTGGAGGTCGACATTCTTTTATTTTTGCTTCACTTCATAATAAATAAATTCAGTGCCATAATGCATATTTAGATTTTGCTATAGGGTTTCCATTTAAGCAAAAAAAAATTTTCCCATATCAGAAAGAGGTGATTTTGCAGCATATATTAACTAGTTTCATCAAATTCTCAAGACTTTACACTGGGTCATAATGCAACTGACCCAATTATAACATGTGCATCATTCAGTGAATATTGATTATTGTACATCCCTTAACTGGCAACTAAGGATCCCCATACTACCCTCATGTGCACCAAAAACTTCTACAGGTGATGGCAGCCATCCATACAACTAGCTAACAGTGATGATGGCTGCCAATTAAGGATTAATCCTTCTCCTAGGAGTCTTCCACTGACCATACCATCCACCTCTTTACAAGTACAGTTATTAATCTCCCCCGAGTCTTGGGGCAATGTTGCTTTAGTTGCCGAGGCCTCATCCAAAATTCAATTAACCCTCCATATGACACTTCTTGACTCGTCAAATTTCTTATTCTATCTTGTATACCCCATAGTGCCCTCAGGTATGTAAGTTGTTGCTTCTGATTTATTCCTTTCTCTTCCATGCTTCACACTCAATGGTAAATGCCTGTTCCACTATTATTTTGTGACATCCGGAGTGGAAGGTGTTATTTCATTAAATGTTGTAGAACCTGAAACATTAGCCTTGATGCTTTGTGTGTGATTTCAGTTTACCTAAAATGGTTATATAAATTAAATTATAAGAAACATGGAATATATAATTTAGAGGAGCATGTTAACACTTAAGTTACACGAGGTAAAAAAAAAGACTGCATATGTACTACATAAAATATATTTGTTGTAATTATAATTGGAGGACAAGTCAATATCTAGATTGAGAACAGTACAGTACTTAGGTTCTCTGTACTAACAATACTGGAGGAATGGATATCAAATGTGTGCCATTCATACTACAGCCAGTGATCAAATTTTTTTTTTAAGTAATGGTCGTGTGATCGTGTCTTCAGAATTGGTGGATGTGTGCTGGACTTGTGTTGATATTAGTAGGGCTTCCAGCCATCAAACTTCAGCATGCCTGATGGCAACTGGCTCATCAGAGTTGTGCCCATCCTATTGTTTCTGTTGCTCGAGGTTTGGGGGAGGGAATCCTCCTTATGGTTTTACATAACTGCTACCATCAAGTAATTGCAGCTAACCCACAAACGATGAAATAAGTCGATGTTCACTTGGCAGCAAGTTTAAACAAAAACCTATCTTAAATATAGTCGAGTGTTGGCAGAGTATGACTGGTTGATAGAAATTACACAGGTGACCATGAGGCTTTTGCTTTGAAACAGCCTCCAGGATATAAGACCAGTTTGTGATAATGGTTGAAACCCTAACCCTTCACCATAGACCTATGCATACAGTATAGCACACCCAACCACCTGTGATGAAAACCAGACAGCAGTTTGACTTAGAGGAATGAATGGTCAATGCTGCTTTTGTACAGTCCATTAAAAAGAAAAATTCGACCACAATGCTGTGCGTAATATGAAATGGACACTAAATTTGTACTTGTGGGGGTTCCAACGTCCATTGGTTGTCGCTCATTTTCAATTTCACAAACCATGAAGTGGTTGGCTTATTTCACTAACTACAGTACAGATACCAGCTTCTGCAGTCATACGGTTTTGGAAAAATTTGTAAGCCCATGTTCAACTGGATCAAACCTTTAAATTTTAAGGCATCATTAGTTACCTCTACCCAGCTTTCATGCAACTGAAACAAAATACACGCGTTTGGTTTGTGTGAGGGAAGATAAGCAATCGTCTTGAGAACGAGTAAGACTTCATCGTTAATACAGTAAAAAATAAGAAATGATACATGACGTATATCGGCTAAACGTACAGTACAATTACCATTAAGATGTGTGACAAACATCTTTTCCACTATCCACATTCATCACATCCATTTTATCTGTAATTCATGTAGACATGCAAGCATCGTCTGAACATGAGCGAATCATTATCTTGAATTATCAACTATGGCACATTACCTCCAACAGGAGTATAATCACTACTGGGTCAAATTGTACTGGTGAAAAAGTGAAGTGGGTTCAAGTTTCAGTATCTTCAGTCTTATCTCTGAAAAGACGCCTCGCACTACTGGCGCCACTCCCTTGGGCTACTGGGGACGAAACTGACCCAGGACTAAAAAAATAGATTTTCACTCCCATCTTGGTAATGTCACAAACTGGTCATGATGAAAAATGAAAGTGGGTACCACAGGCATGACTCCGTTAGGGACATTGTGGCCCAAGAAATATATTCCCATGGTGTGGATACAGATACCGATCACTACTCTACTTAACCTCTACACAAGGAGGCAGCATGGCCGGTACTGCACTCGATCGTATTCACTTCCTCAAGAGGTAAATTTAGATACAGTACCCATTTACAGCCGAGTGCATTGGGAGTGTCCCATCTTCTTACTGCAAATGTCGGTATGGAAAACAAATTCAGTTACACAACAGTAAGATGGTGTCGCACATGGTACATATGATCTGTAATCTAACTTATGAACTTCTATTGACATGCTGTTAAATATGTTTTGTTAAATTGCTATAATGTAACCGTACAATAACTTACATCGCTTGTCATAATATAAATTTCATCGTACCGTACTAAAGAAAATGTCGTGTTTGTTTATTCTATAGGCAAGCCGTATCTATTCACGAATTTGTACTTTATGGTCTGTACTGCATAAAGAATGAATCTACGCAACATCATCGCCATGTTTTACCAGTGCCGCCGTTCCTGGCGCCAAGCCGGGGCCGAGCAACGCTCAACTTATGCCTGCCACCCGTACGATACTTGCCTCACGCAAAACCTGTACAAGCATAAAAATTACTATGTTTTGCTCACACTGCTTGAGAAAAACCTTTTTAGGCGTAAACTTGTCTATAAATGAAGTTGTCTGAACGTGATATAAAGCACAAACTCTTAGTTTTTGCAGTCGTGTTGTGTCCTGCCATGACGGTCAATATGAAGTTAACCTATAAATACAACGTCATGTGTTTGGTGACTGGTGTTAAGGCTGTGTCGCTGAGAGTGTAGTCCTGTAGTACCTGCCTCCAGCTTTTGTCTGCGACTTGCCGACGAAGTCTCTGTTGTGCAAAGAAAGTGACAACCATTGCTTTGTGTAGCGCCACTACCTTTCTAAGAGGCCCCTTGTGGCTCTTACCCATAGGGTTCAGTTTACGCTAGCTTATACATCTAGGTTCTAGATGGGAAGATCACAGTTTGATGTTGCCGTCGCTAGTCCTAGGCATCGTCTGCGAACATTTGTATAGAGGAGTATGTATACAGTAGCTTCTAGCATGTCATTTATGAAACAGACAACAACGGGCCCGGTTTTATATACAGTATATATAGTAAATTAATTGGCTCTAGCTATGCCAAAAATAGTTATAGTATTATTAAATATGAAAAATTTGTGACAAGAGGTAACGGTATGGCCAGCACAGGGAGATCCAGATTATGTGATGTAGTCGTAGCCAGGATTAAGTTAGGATACAGACATCTGGTAAGTTAGTGGCGCTGTACCCCCACACCGGAACACTCAGCATGTAAACTTTGGGATAAACCTTTAAAGCATACACTTGAACACTATATAATTGAATGTGACACTGCCAAGGACTTCAGGCCACCTGGCTTAATGTATCATGAACTATGTAATTACTACCATGAGTGCTTGAGGACATTCTTGTAGTGCAGTCTATCTTAAATTTGATAATCCACACTGATTAGTTCTGAATAACACAAATGAATATGACACTAATGAGCCACTGTCCTGCGTGTCAATGATAGCTTTCTAACATGTCGCCCCACAGTGATTCAGCCGACAACCTTATTTTAACATCGTTGTGTCTTAATAACTGATAGTATCTTTTTGATATATTTTATGCGTGTGTTTTTCTCCCTCATTCGTATATCTTTTCCTTCATTTCTCATCTCCTTTTTAAGCTCCCTTTCCTTCCACAAATTCTTCAACTCGCCATTTTCATTAGTTTTAATCTACATGTTGACGGGAACTTACAAATATCTGCTAAAGATATATGTGTGGAGCATTTACTGTGTATTCGAGGAGATTTAATAAGTTAGATAGAAATCTTATCTTGAAATTAACGTGTTGTACTTGTACTTCTTTTGGGGATTACTGGCCACTTCGCCTTAAGGCTATTTCGGTCGTACAATAACGTGTTAATAAGATAGAGCTTAACTATATTTTCATTACCGCCATATAATTATCCATCTGCGGTACGATAAAATGGTCGTGACTTGTGTACCATCTGCAACGCTCATGTGCCTGAGTCGCCAGACAGTCACGCCAACACCGACCGCAGTTGCTTAGCGATTGGTTCGAAGAGTGGTGGCGCGAACTGCAATTGTGCTTCGTACACTGTGAGGACCATGACCTCCAGCATTTATAATTTATTTGAGTAGATTTCCAAATTATATCAGATATGACAATTGCAGTGAGACAGTCAGCAGTTAATTTTATGATACTGAGCTATCAAAAGCAGTTGTACTAAAGGTGCTGAAACACTAAAGGGATATTTCCCCCCTTCGCTTATTACCATTACTGGCTGTGTGGTGAGCCCTAATCGGTTAGTGATATGAGGTAATTTTATGCTCTATGATGTGTCAGCACGAGTACATAGTATATTAAAGATTATTACAGTGCACTGTCCAGCTGTTAACTGACAACATCTAGTTCACCATAAGTCTCTTATTAACACACGGAAGTTGCTAAAATCTGTTATGAAAATGTTAGACTTTCTATAATACTATATCCAATATTATCCAGTACACGTATTCTTTAACAAAACTTGTGCAACCAGATGGTGGATTTAACCTGAACCCGCCTAAGAGATACGTCTAAACGTTTGGATTAGGAACCTTAACGTACACACGTCGTAACGAGCCAACGCTGAAGATGTCGGAGAGTGTGGTGAACGGTGGTGGCGGGGCAGAGATGAAACTAAAGCTGACGAGTTCGGATACCACCTCCACCCTGGTGTCCCCGACCACGCCGCCCTCAGAGCCTCACTACCCTCTTATGGAGGCCACGGGCTCTGTCTCCTACACCACAGGTAAGTCACAAGTGGTTCACTCAGAGTGCATGACAGCAATGACAGCTGCATGAGCAGTGTGGAAATTAACAAGGATTCCGTACGTGAATTTTCTCCTTTTACATTATATTGTGCTTTAAGTTGGCTAGTTAGATGCTTTCTTATATGTAGTTAAGAAGAACGCAGAACGTACGAGCCTTTTAACCCCTTGTGTACAGGGTCCTCACTCTACTGAATAAAATCATCCAGTGAATGCCCAATCAAATATCGAAGTGGCGTCCTCGTAGTGAAGAGGCCAAGACTCTGTAACTAGTACAGTGCTATACAGGAAATCCGAAAGTCGACCTCAAGTGACATACGACTTCCCCTAAGACTCAAAAGGATTGTGTGGGTCAGGTTGTGTTAGGTGACTTTAGTGTCATCTGAAAATTTGTGTATAGTGACTGTGGTTGTGATGGTATTGTAACTGTGACCATTTTGTGTAGTGATATCATATAAGATTCTATAAAGTAAAAGATAAATGCATTAAAACAAGGGAAGTGGAAGAGAATATATGGAAAACACATATGTGAGAACAATATAGGAAGCATGGCTGGTATAATCAAAGACCTCACTCAGGGCGTTTCTCATTCTTTTCTAACTTTAGATAAGTTAGGAGAAAGCATACAGTGCTGAAAATTGGATGAACTGCTATATTCTAGTGGGAAGAATGTCCTTTGCATTGATGGAGAGGAAATTACGATATCAGTTGTCATTTCTCAAATTTTCTGCGCTTATTTATTATATAAGCAAATTTTCTAGTAATTATTCTGTATATCTTATAATGTTATTGCCACTTCATATTTGTAATTAAAACAGATATGAAAGTAAAACTGACGGTGAAATATCTGAACTGTAAGCGGTCAGTGACTCAGTGATGAATACTGTACTCTCGTGGAAGACGTCAGGGTCATCGGCCTGTGATGTTTATTTAGTTTCTCGACCAGTCTTATCTCGGCTGGTTGCTAAAGGAACCCGGTAGCTATTTAGTGATCGCTAGCATACGAATGGTTCACTCCTCACCGGAGTGGAGGATTATGGATCATTCCTTTGTACACTAGCCCCTGTGCACTCAGCAATAAATGAGTACACTGTTAGGGTCGCTTGCCTTTCGGTGAATTACTATAGCATCCTGACACGTGGGATGGGGAACCTCCCAGCTGGTGAATTCCCTGGACACCTGGGAGATAACCCTCCATGCAATATTGGTGTTATCCAGTGTGACCCTACCAAACACCACAGGTTTCCTCCTGTACTAACACTGGATAGACCGCCCAAACGGCTAGTAGCTGATAAGTAGCGAATATGCTGAAAAAAATAATAAATATTGATCGTCTTCTGGACGACTAGATAACGGGGTTTCCCAGTGAAGTACAGTCCCAGTCAAGGGTCCTGTCGCCTCTCCTGGAGGGGGGGGATTGTTGCTTTAAAACAGAGAAATGAACATCTGCCTTTTCTCTCTCACTTGTGGTGGAGGTGATGTGGGCTGGAGAGAGGAAGGCAAGGGGGAGGGAGGCAGGGATAAAGAGGAGGGATACAGGAAAAGGGAAAGATGGAGGGGAAGGTCAAGGTTGTGTCTGGGTAAACAAGCAATCTTCTTGGTGGTGTCTATATTCTGTACCAGTGGCGGGGGTATAGGTCAATGTATTATGCAGGCGGTGAAAATGTAGCACAGGAAGAGGAGGTGGGAGGTGTAGCACAGGAAGAGGAGGTGGGAGGTGTAGCACAGGAAGAGGAGGTGGAAGGTGTAGCACAGGAAGAGGAGGTGGAAGGTGTAGCACAGGAGGAGGGGAGGTGGGAAGGTGTAGCACAGGGAAGAGGAGGTGGAAGGTGTAGCACAGGAAGAGGGAGGGTGTAGTGGTAGCACAGGAAGAGGAGGTGTGAAGGTGTAGTACAGGAAGAGGAGGGGTGGCACAGAAGAGGTGGAAGGTGTGGCACAGGAAGAGGGAGGTGTGGAAGGTGTAGCACAGGAAGAGGAGGTGGAAGGTGTAGCACAGGAAGAGGAGGTGTGGGAGGTGTAGCACAGGAAGAGGAGGGAGGTGAAGAGGAGGTGGGAGGTGTAGCACAGGAAGAGGAGGAGGTGTAGCACAGGGAGGGGAGGTGGAAGGTGTAGCACACAGGTGTAGCACAGGAAGGAGGAGGTGGGAGGGACAGGAAGAGGGAGGAGGTGTAGCACAGGGAAGAGGTGAGGTGGGAGGTGTAGCACAGGAAGAGGAGGGGGGAGGTGTAGCACAGGTGGGAGGTAGCACAGGAAGAGGAGGGGAGGTGTAGCACAGGAAGAGGAGGGAGGTGTAAGGGAGGAGGTAGCACAGAAGAGAGGAGGGAGGGGTGTAGCACAGGGAAGAGGGAGGTGGGAGGTGTAGCACAGAGAGTGGGAGGTGTAGCACAGAAGAGGAGGTGGGAGGTGTAGCACAGGAGAGGTGGAGGTGGGGGAAGGTGTAGCACAGGAAGAGGAGGTGGGAGGTGTAGCACAGGGAGGAGGAGGGGGAAGGTGTAGCACAGGAGGGAGGTGGGAGGTGTAGCAGGAAGAGGAGGTGGGAGGTAGCACAGGAGGTGGAAGGTGTAGGAGGTGTGGGAGGTGTAGCACAGGAGAGAGGTGGGAGGTGGGAGGTGTAGCACAGGAAGAGGAGGTGGGAGGTGTGCACAGGAAGAGGAGGTGGGAGGTGTAGCACAGGAAGAGGAGGAGGGGGAGGTGTAGCACAGGAGAGGAGGAGGTGAAGAGGAGGTGGGAGGTGTACAGGAAGAGGAGGTGGAGGTGTAGCACAGGAAGAGAGGTGGGAGGTGTAGCACAGGAAGAGGGTGGGAGGTGTAGCAGGGAGAGGAGGAGGGGGAGGTGTAGCACAGGAAGAGGAGGTGGGAGGTGTAGCACAGGGAAGAGGAGGTAGCACAGGAAGAGGGAGGTGGGAGGTGTAGGAAGAGGAGGTGGGAGGTGTAGCAGAAAGGAGGAGGTGTGGGAGGTGGGAGGTGTAGCAGGTGAGGTGTAGCACAGGGTGGGGAGGTTGTAGGAGAGGTGTAGCAGGAGGGGAGTGTGGAGGTGAGGCACAGGCACAGGAGGAGGAGGTGAGGTTGTAGCACAGGAGGAGGAGGGAGGGTAGCACAGGAGGAGGAGGTGAGGTTGTAGCACAGGAGGAGGAGGGAGGTTGTAGCACAGGAGGAGGAGGTGAGGTTGTAGCACAGGAGGAGGAGGTGAGGTTGTAGCACGGAGGAGGAGGTGAAGCAGGGGAGGAGGAGGTAGGCACAGGAGGAGGAGGTGAGGTTGTAGCACAGGAGGAGGAGGAGGGAGTTGTAGCACAGGAGAGGAGGTGAGGTTGTAGCACAGGAGGAGGAGGTGAAGCACAGGAGGAGGAGGTGGTTGTAGCACAGGAGGAGGAGGTGAGTGAGGAGGTTGCACTTGAAGGCACAGGAGGAGGAGGTGACCCACCTGACGAAGTATTAACCTGACGCACCACGAAGATTGAGAAATTAAACAACCCATAGTTACAGAAAGACATTACCCACCTGACGAAGTATTACCACCTGACAGTACACCCACCTGACGAAGTATTACCCACCTGACTTACCCACCTGACGAAATATTACCCTACCTGACAAAGTATTACCCACCTGACAAAGTATTACCCACTTGACGAAGTATTACCCACCTCGAAGTATTACCACCTGACAGTACCCATTGACAAAGTACCCACCTGACGAAGCATTACCATCTGACGAAGTATTACCACCTGACGAAATATTACCCACCTGACGAAATATTACCCACCTGACGAAGTATTATCTATCTGACGAAGCATTACCCATCTGACGAAGCATTACCCATTGACGAAGCATTACCCACCTGACGAAGCATTACCCACCTGACGAAGTATTACTCACCTGACGAAGCATTGCCCACTGACGAAGCAGTACCACCTGACAAAGTATTACCCACCTGACGAAGTATTACCCACCTGACGAAGCATTACCCACCTGACGAAGCATTACCCACCTGACGAAGTATTACCCACCTGACGAAGCATTACCCACCTGACGAAGCATTACCCACCTGACGAAGTATTACCCACCTGACGAAGCATTACACACCTGACGAAGTATTACCCACCTGACGAAGTATTACCCACTACATTGAACCCAAGGTACCCCATAGTTTCCATAGTATTTTTTTTGTTACCGATTGCCCCCACTGATTTACACACAATGAAGTTTGATTAGATAGGTGAGCGTCCCGTAATGCATAAGTGACTTAACTATGTAAGAATAATATATGAAGGTAAGTGAGTTAGGTCGATGGGTTTCCTCGGGTTTAGTTAATGGGGAAATGTCCGCCCCTGACTCTTGAGTGGTGGCGGACAACGGAGGAGCGCGGTAAGAAAGTTATTTAAAACCGGTGTATCTGTTTTCCTTTCATCATGGGCGTGCAGACAAAATGCCGTTAGAGTACCCCCATTCCTCACCCAACCCCCATGTCCCGCTCTGGGTACAAATTCGTAATTATTGTAATAAACTAGACAAAATTCTAGCACCATGGAAGTGAAATGGAACCCTCAGGAAAAAATATATCCAACCTTTATGTTATATCACGTTTGTAATATGAGCTTATATCTGATTGGCGTCTTTATGGTGATGTGTTCCTGCTCCATCTATTGACAATTAAATGAATGAAATACCCAGCTATTGAAGGAATAAGACTGAATTTCTACGCCCTCTATTAGCGAAGGAATGAAATTGCCTAGTCGATAAGTTGTAAGTTAATTTCTGTACCACCTATTAGTTATTCAGTTAAATAGCCTAGTTAATGATGAGTTAAAAGTGGATTCCTACGCCATCTATTGAAAACTGATACACCTGTCCTGTCATTTAAAGCAGGAAAATGCCCTTCGGTATATTTTGATAAGTAAATTGTATATCTAGATTTGAACAACAAGGCTAGAGAGAGGAGTCAAGGATCAACCACAAGATAATTATGAAATCATTCGTGGGCTGAG